ATCTTGTAAATAAGCCTTGATATTTTCTTCTTCAGGTGTTAATTCTTCAGGCTAGAAAAAAAAAGACGAACCTTATAAAAGAAGGAACACATCAAATCGATTTCTATTTACTTCTTCAGTGGGTTTGTCTGGTTTTTGTTCATCCTCTTCCTCTCTAAAATGAAATCGAATTCATCTAATGAGTTTATGTGATCTTTCTGGATCAGCTCTTACGCATCGTCTTCATCACGTGATTCACTGTATTCCGGTCCGATTTTCATTTTTGTTTTCCCAATGATCAATTCTTGTAAACGATCGCGAAATTTAATATGAAACGCATCGTATTTGATTGCCAATTCTCGTGCCTGTAGAGTTTTACCAGCGCCCTCCGGTCCAATGATGCTGATGCGAATTGCGGGTAGCTAAGAAAAGAAAGCCTTCACAATGGTTCTTTCACTAAGACAAAATTGAAAATTACCACTGGTGGCTTCGTAATTGGTAAATATTTCAATGGTGTTTGTAGGAATGCACTGCGATTGTCGTCGTTAGCAAAACGATATGTTTTCGAGTTGTACGAAAGAATAAAATCGGGTTTGCCAGGTACCAGTACATTTTTCTCGAATAATGCAACAGGATCATAGATACTTGTATCACCCAAATGCTTCTTTCGATCGCGTTTGAATAGATCGACTTCTTCTTCTTCGCCTTCTTCTTCCTCTTCATTTTCACCTTCCTCAGCTTCTTCTGCATCGTCAGCACCTTCTTCACCGTCGTCTGTTTCCAAAACGGCATATTTAAATTGTTCTAGAAAAGTAGACGCATCATATCACATATTTACAAACAGTTTTAATTCGACTAGACATACTTTCAAGTGCGTCATACGATTCTTGCAATAGCTCGTCTCGTTTCTTCAATGTCTCGCCATCTTCTTTCATTAATTCGATATAAATCGGTTCAAGATTGAAAACATTGTTTATGGTTGCCATCAATTCATTAATGCGTGTGACATCGGCACGAGCTTGTTGAACGAATGTATCACGTTCAACACCAGCGGGTGGTATCACTTCTTCATCGACCGGTACATCAGATATCGAGGGTGGACCACGATGAAGATCCGTATCTACAGGAAATGTTTTACCAGATATTTTGATGATTTACAGTAAGGATACATACTGCTTTCTTTGTCTTTATCGCCTTCTTTACCCATGGATTCATCCTCTGGAGATAAAAATGGCATAAATATGAAAATTCTCTGATGACATTGCAAACAAGTCAGTTACCTTCTAAAATTGTTTCGGGAATTTTATCGATGAAGTCTTCCTTTTTCGGTTCGTAATTTCGATCTTCAAGGATGGCCTGTTCCATCTCTATATGAAAAGGAAACAAAAATTCAACTTGTAAAAGTAGCAAACACGAACCTTTCTCATCAGTTCCATCTTCGTCTTCTTCTTCGTCATCTTCCAATATTTCACCAGCCTCAATTCGACGCTGTCGTTCTGCTAAACGTTCCTGTCGTTCTTGTTCGGCAAGTAATTTCATTTCTTCTAATTTTCGTCTACAATAGAACAACAATACATAAACACTGAGACTGAATTTGAATCTCTACGCACTTTCGTTCTTCTTCTTGGATTCGTCGTTCATTTGCTTCACGCTCTTCCCGTTCACGAATTTCCTTATCGATTTCTGCGCGATTGGCTTTATACCAGCGTTTTTGCAATGCTTCCAATTGAGGATTTGTGTCTTGGAGAACAACCACATCATCTGGTTGAATATGTTTTTCGTGAAGAAGAGTAAACGTTTCTTTGTCAAATGGAGAATTAACAAAAATCCAATTGCCGTATCTTAAAAGAAGAAATTTTCAAAGTTGTTCAACGCTTTTGCTCAAAATATACTTACAATGGTCCACTCGAATTCTTTTCTCGTTGTTCTTGTTCAACCTTTTGAATAGCTTGAGACATTAATTCTGCTACGACATCGGCTGGAACATTAATGGACGCACTACGAGCTTCTTCGACTGCTTGCTCAACAGCCTTTTTCACTTCGGGGTGCTCAGCTGTGATGGGTTCAACTTGAATCGGCTCGTCTTCTAGTACTTCTTCCGGCACTGGTGATGCTGCTGAAGGTGTGCCTGGCGCAGGTGATGATGAAGCAACAGCTGGTGTTGGTGAAACCCCGCCAGGCGCAGGCGACGGTTGTTTTGGTGGCTGTGATTCGTCCTCTTCTTCGGCATCAGCATTTTGAGCTTTTTCTGTTTGGTCAAGATCGTTTGGATCAGTAATTGTTTCACCATCTTCGATATTGGATGGTTCTGCATCATCATTGACCTCTTCTTCTTCGGGTGGTGTCGGCTGTCGTGCTGCTCTTTCTATACAAGAACTATGTGGGTTAAGCAACATACAAGCGTGTATTATTCCAAACCTGCGGCTTCAATCTCAGCCTGCTGTTGTAACTTCTCTATAGTCGCTTGTTGAACTTCGTTGCGAATTTTATCGATATACTGCTGACGGAGTTCATCGACTTTTGGTTGGCAATATGCAACCATATCAATAACCTGTTTATTCCAAATATTAGTTGAAGTACATACATGTCTATCTCGGAAATTTTTGACTTACAGTAGCATCGTATTTTCTAGCGAGATCTTGTGCTAATTTATCAATGCCAGACACACGAGGACCGTAGAGAAAAAGTTTACATGGTTGTCGCGCTTGATTGATATAACGTCGCGGATTCTTTTGAAATTCTTTCAATGTTTCTTTGTTCGAAAGGACGAAAATCTTGTCCATAAAACTGAATAGATGTTTGAATTAATATTAAATACAAAAAGTCAATAAACCTACTGAACAGAAAATTCCTGACGGCCTGACACACGATTTCCTTGTTTAAGAGCGACCGGATCGACACGTAACCACCGACTTCGTTGCCATTTGTATCCGTTCGAGAGAACATTTGATCCAGCTAGCGAAAGCATCAATTCTTCGGTATCCATTTCATCCGCAGGTGGAGCTTCTTCCGCACGACCTGGTTTTTCACCGTCTTCATCTTCTTCACCCTCTTCTCCTATATCGAACACAAATGAAATACAAACATCATTGTTGCAGATCTAAATAGCTTAATCGATCGAAACACATACCCATCTCGTCACCATCATGATGAACTTCTTCTTCCTCTTCTTCAGGCGGAAAGAATCGTTGAACAACAGCTGCTCGTCTAATTGGATAGGCACTCAAACGTTCGAGTAGTTGTTGAAAAAGAATAGTTGGTGACATATTTCCATCGAGTTCAATTAAATATGAATGCGATAAATCTGCCATATATTCTTCGAGCAAGCGTAAGAGTTGATCTTTGAATACTTTGATACTATCAGCAACATCAGGCATCATGTCTTCGGGTCGAGTTACCAATCGTTCGACAATGTCTGCTTCGATTTGAGTAAAAAATTCATCCTGAATATAAAAAAAAGAAAAGTCCGTTGATAGAAAAACTGATCTTGCGTAACTATAATACATACCACTACTTGTTCTTCTTCTTCGATCTGTTCTTCATCCTCGTCATCGTCATCGGCATCGCTCTCTTCATCATCATCTTTCGATGGTTGTTTATCAGGCTAAAACGGAACAAATCGTCAGCGATAAAACAGCACAACCTTGAGTTTTGCTGAATTTCGTTACCTTTTCAATTGGTGTTGGTGCATACTGTTCTTTTATGTACAAAGCACCAGTCAATGGATCGATTTTTTCACCTTCTCGTCTATTGATCAGATCGCCATCAGGTATACGAATATTAATCACATAATCGGGTGTTAACGGCCAGTTTTTCATTGATGCCATTTGATCACGTAATTTCATAGCACTCTCGTTCATAAGTGGAAAACCATCCAAGATATAGCCTGTGCAAGCATAGCAAATCAATAAAGAGATTGAACACATTTTCCTACATACCATGATGTGCAACTTCCGGTGAGCGCATCTTGATGTCTAACATACGAGCGATCATTTGATCAGGTACAGTTTCGCCACGTATGAGCAAATCACGTGCATGTAAACCAAGTTCAGTTTTTTGTTTGATGTTCGATGTGATTAAATCGGCAACTAAACAGTAGCATATTATTCGCTCAGAAAAGAAAATTAGACTGATTTACTATTGATCAGCTCAGCATGCCAATCATCAGCTAATTTTCTTGCTAGAAGTGTTTTTCCAACACCTGGTTTGCCGAGAATAAGAAAACATGTCGGTTTCGATTCCAAGAACTTCTTATCTGCCTACAAATAGACCAATAAATACGGTGTGACTAGCTTCATCGATACCTTACTTCTTCTGTGTCGTACGCATCATCTTGATAATTGATTATTTCTGTACTTTTCTCTGACTTGTCATCTTTCGATACCGTAGTGTTCTAAAAATTGAATCAATGTTTATTCTGCTTGTCCTGCTAGAATATGTGTTTGTTTACTTTGGTCTGATGCTTTATTGGATCACCATATTGAAATGACGATTCCTGCCGCGAAGATAGATTTTGCAAACTAGCACGCGGGTCGCTAATAGCCGATTCTTGATAATCGGTCATTGCAATCAATAAGGCACTTGAATAGAAGAAAAATGACTTTATTACAGAATCAAACACTACTCACCATTCTACATGTTTGTTGCTTGGAAACAGCCTTTACCAAGTCGATAGATGTCGCTTCTTTGTTTGTAAAAATTAAATTGAAAGAGACTATTTTTCTCGTTCTATTTAAATGAAATAAATGATTAATTTCACAAAAAAGTTCGAGAAAAAGATAGTCGAAAAAATTCATCAATCAAAACTCACTACAGCGTTCTTTGTCAGTTGATTATGGCTATGAAATCAACAAACAATAATAATAACAAAAACAATAATATTCCAAAACGAATGATTTTCATTTCTCGTCTTCGTCGCTTTTTTTCTCTCTTCAGATAGTTTGTTTTGTTGAAGTTCACTGTGTATGATTATTCGATTTATTCGTAGTTCGTTTCTCGAACTATCCATCATCTTTTTCTAAATGACAACCACAGCTGAAACTTATCATCCTACTTATAAGAATTCATTAATTGATAATGGAAGTTTAACAACAAAAGATGACGACCCCTCGTCGATTGTTGCTAATGTTACAATTGATGAATTAGTTGAATCGTGTTGCAATGAAGTATTACCTTCATCATCATCATCATCATCATCTAGTCAATTAAATAGCAGTAGTGTATCTCCATCACATCTGGTACGATTTGTTCACTCACAATCGTCACTCGTCAGTCAGATAGATGAAACAATAAATACTACTGTTCAAGAATCTCCATCCAATTCAATCTTATCTAGTCAAGATACACCAGTCAAGCAACAACCACCATTGATTAATGTCACACGTTTACCATCACCATTTTCCACCATTAAACCAAAAACCATCATTGAATCGAGTAATTCAATGCACAACACAACAAACCTAACAAATATCACAGCAAATAATATCAGTGTGAATAATTATAATGTTAATATTCATACAACTAATGTCCAGCAGCCAACTCAAACAATAATCAACAATACGTCAAATGATCATTTGTCAAAAAAATGTAGTCCTTTGGATGAGAAACAAACTACAGAAATCGTCACACAAATATTAAAGAATATCAAAGAAGTTGACAGCAATACCGATCAACAAACGACAACTACAACGAATTACAATATTCATATTGATTCGTTTAATTTTTCTTCATCAAATGAACAACAAACAATTATCAATAAGAAAACTCGAATAAAGAAAGAAGCGAAAGCATTGACAAGAATTATTGTTAAAGATGAATCAACACGACCGACGTCACCGAATTTCTTGCGAAATAAGAAATCAGCAAAGAGTTCGCCAAACAGTCACAGTAGTGATAGCCAAACATCAGGAGAATTCATTCCTGTGCCATATGGATGGCAGAGAAGAATATTAGCAGCGGATCTGGTGGTTTATGTCAGGTAGTGACGATAAAAGGCGTCGATTTATTCATTGTTGAAGCATTCTTTTAGTCCAACAAATGCAATACTCGATTCTTTGGATGCTGTGCGTCGTTATCTTGAATCGCCAACATCATGCAAATGCGGTCTTCAATGCCCGCTGATTGTCGAGAAGGTTCGTTTATCATTTTATTAGCGAGAAACGATTAAATCAAGGATTTGTCTTATTTCAGGTGTTCAATTTTGATTCGTCAATTTTGGCGAAATCCTGGGAAGTAACACAAGTTCTCGAAGGTACTAACTGTCGACAGAAATCCAATATATTAGAAATGGCCACGTTGACAAACTGTATTGATTCATTTTGTGAAACAGATCCAAAACCAGGTAGAATTTCTGCTGTTCATCGCTTCTAGTTGTACTTATATTTGTACTATCTTAGTCAAACGTCGAAAACGAGTACATAATGAAGGAGTTAATGGAAACGTTTTCGTATGTGCTTCGAATGTAACTGGAAATAGTAATAATGAATCAGTTGTGTTTGTTAATAATACCAGTCAAACATCAGGTAAGGATTAATCGATTTTTCTCGCTCTCGATCTTCAAACGTGTCTTTGTTCCGCTTTGACAGAGGGTAGTCAATCGATGACATGGACACCTGTACAACAAGCAAACGTTACTCCGTCATCGAAGCGGCCACGTGGTCGTCCGCGTAAAACGACTGTTACATCGCCAACTATTGCTCAACTTGCTGTTAAACCACCATCCACTGAAGTTCAACAAGCACAACCTGTCCCATCATCGATGCTTTCGCCACCAGCGTCTGTTTCGTCGAACTCTCAGACAAATCATCTGCATCAAAATTCGGTTTCACCATCGACACATGCTCATAACAATATCCGTTACGTGAATGATAGCATTGTCACACCACCGATTTTTACTTCAACAACGGATACGAATGTCATTGCACGCGTCCCATCACTATTCGATCAAGTTAAAACAACAACGAACGAATCAACATTTGCTGTTCTCTCAGGTGTACAAAACGTTCTACTTTCACCAAATCGAGATTCAAACAATAATAAACGCGCGCGTGTTGAATCAGCTTCAGCAGTTATAGCAACAAACAATACAACCAACAAACAGGTAAAGAATAGACATTTTTCGAAACAAAAACAAAGAATAACTCTCTTTGTCGTAGGTTACATTAAATGTAAACGCATTAAAACCCGACTTTGTCCGTTCACCAGCTATTGCTCAAAAGCCGTGTGTATCATCAACAACACCGACAACAAATCCAACCGCAATGTCAAATCAAATCGATGTTATTTCATTGATGGGTACAACAAATCAAACACAAATAATGCTTCCTAAAGCATCAACAACCAATGAAGAATATCAATTAAACAAAACAACTAATGAACAAAGCAATGATTCATCACAACCATTGATGATTGACTTTAACGATCCCTCGACAACAAATTTTCTCTTATCAGCTTTAGCGTCGGGTGCATCATCGGATTCCAATGCTATTGTTAATCATCTTTTTCAAAAAGCACAAACACAACAACAACGAACAACGACCACATCGCCACCACCAATCGCAACTGCAACATCAATTAATACTGCATCAATTATTAAAAAGAAACTACCGATCATTTCGTCTGGATCGAAAACGTGTACAGAAACAACAAATCTACTACCAACAGCACCTATGCGACAGTCTGTTGTGCTTCATGCTCCATCAAATAATGACTACAACCAACAGACACCAGCCCAACAGATTATTTTAAACAATAATAATAACACTGAAGAGCGAAAGCAACCGCAACAAATCTTTTTTATCAATAATAAGCCATATATAATTCAACAAAAAATTACCAATGATCAATCTTCTCAACAACGATTGATTTTGACGCCGTCTATTACACCGTCCGATGGTTTGTATTTTTGCTATTTTCACATACAGACGAATCATCTTCTATTGCATGCTTCGTTTACAGATTCTACTTCATCAAATCGGCATACTGTTACTGTCAACAACAACAACAATACTAATTCAGCGAAGACGAACAATCCACTTGGCCAATCAACACTTGACGATGGTGGCAACTGTCTTTTATTAAATGGGCCAGTGGAACCGAAAACACTTCGTACGTTATTGAAAGGCTTAAATTCATCATCATTTTCAGGTGTTGATAATCTTATTGACACTATCAATCGTTTTGAACATACGACATCATCTGTTGAACAGCATGATAATCTGTTAATCAAATCCGTTCGAACAACAAAGGCTAGTCCTGCGAAGAAACTCTCAGCAAATCCAGATAAACCCGCACCAAGACGTCGTACAACCAAGAAAGCTAAGCAAGAAGTAGAAGATCAACAGCAGCAACAACCAATTCAAAGGTCAATGCCATTGTTATCTCAACCAATTGTTGTTGAGCAGCAACAACAACAACAATGGCAAACTGATTTCAACTCATTTGACTTTTCTACACCATGGGGTAGTGATACTAATTTGAATTCTCTTTTACTCAACGATGATTTTGATACGGCTGCCTCATTTGACGATGTTAGTTTCGGCGATTTCGAACCGTATATGACTGGCAACAATAATCTCAGTAATAATGATTTAACATTACCTTCATTATTTGTCAAACCATTACCATGCGATAGTTTGCCAAGTGTTGATCATCTTTTACCTTAGAATGTCCTTTTCTCGTCTTCTTCTTCTTGCATATTGTGATATTATTGTCGAATATTGTAAACACACTCACACACGTCTACATTTATTTGTCATCTCAGGCTGCTTTTGCTGCTTTATTTTCGATGCATGTGAGATGTTCTTCTCTGTAGTTATGTAGCTCAACAATACCCCCAAGCAACAATCGATCTTGATCTGAACATATTTAAATAATCTGTGTGCAATTCGTTTTCAATCCCACCTGGAATTTTCCGTTTCTTATTGGTCTCTAGTCTCGTTCTCTCTCGCTCTCTTTTTCTCATCTTCTGTCTGTTTATTTATATATTTTTGGTTGTTGTTGTTTGTACAGTGTCTTTTCATACTGTCTATTTGTTCTTGCAATATCATGCACAGCATAAATACTTATATCTATCTATCTATGCTCGCGCCTTGCCTCCACTGGAATGATATTTTGTGTATCGAATTTGTACAATGTTCATTTATTAAATGTGTTTTGTGTGCCGTGTTGTTAAAATCTTTGTTTCTTTCAATTACGACGATGTCTTTTCTTTTCTTTTTGTCTCTGTCTCTTCGATCACACAGATAAATATTGACTCGTTTTCATGTGTGACCGCCTGTGTGGATTTCAATTTAATAGAATAATCGACTTTTCACATTTTTTTTTGCAAGATCTTCTCTGATTGTTTTTGTTTTGTTTTTCTTTACTTTAGTCGTTTTGGAATTAAAATACGACACAAAATTTCGTCTCTGTTTGTTTTCTTTTTTTGAATATAAGTAATAAGTAACAAAAAAAGAGATGTTGTTGTTTACTATATGTTTCATTCCGAGTGTTTACTTGGAAAATGTGTGTATTTGTTGAAGAAAAAACAAAAGTTTTCTATTGTGCATTTTTATTCTTTTCTCTTTGGAATTCTAGATGGGTAACGGAATAAATGTGAGTAAAAAACAATTACCCGGTGTACCGCAACCGCCAGGCGCACGAAAAATCGTCGTTATTCCATATCAGAAATGGATTTACTATGACGCACGACGTTTCGGTCATTTCAATCAATTCAGTACGGATACTGGTTGTGAAATAAATTCAAATAATAATAATAACAATAATAATAATTCAACGTCATCCGTACTCCCGTCGCTCTCTTCAAGTTCATTTTCTACTCCGACATCACTTGTTTCGCCTTCATCGTCTTTGACCAATGATTTTATCGTTCAAAGCAAAGCACAAATAATATTCGCTTCTGTTCCATCATCTCTATCGTTTTCAAGCAATAAATCCAACATTCGTCATAATAATCAATCTGCTTCAGCCTTAGTTGGCTCGGCGATGACCCTTTCAAGTTCCTCGTCAACTGTCACATGTTCATCCGGCGCGCTATCGAATGATCTTGATGCACGTCGTTTACACCCCAAACCAGTTTATTATGTCAATGGACGGTTTTTCAAGAATCTGACACGTCTCGGTGATGCACAATTTATCTTGAGCGAGCACGGCGAAGACGATGTTGTCTTGACTGTTCCATCTAATATTGAGCGCTATCGGACAAACGATAATGCTATACGTGATCGCATACATCGCTTAAACCGTGTTATTGCTTGCTGTGACGAATTCATTGTCTTTCAATTATGGAAAGGAAATAATGAAGTATGTTCTTTGTACTCATTTGTAAATTCTTTAAGTATATTTTTTGAATATCATAGGTTGAAATATTCGTTTTTGATCGACCTGTGCCTACTGAATCGATAGAAATGAAACCACCAACTAAATGTAAATGTTTTCATCGACAATCCCAGCGACCAAATTCATCACCGTTTCCTCAGCCGACTTCGACTTCACCAACACCGATTTCAACTAATCAAGCAAATACTCGTGTGACAGTACCGAATAAACATAGTTCCCTCATGCAAACAGTTGCATTAAATGCCTATCATCCCAGTGAACCACAACGTTCTCCAATCAAGTCCTGTTCGTTATTAAATGAAACTGAAAACCGTTCGGATGTACAGAACGACGCATATGAATTTGTTGATACGACTAAAAAAGCATCGTATCTGACTGGCTCAGCAAGATGTACACTGGTAACTGCGACCGCTGTCGTTGCTGCTAATCATACTAACGCTAATACTAACCTAACATCGACTACGTCGAGGGCTCGATTTGGAAAATCGACGAGTCGGTTAGTAACATTTTTCTTGAGTAAACAACGTTGAATTTCATTTTTGTCCTCTTTCATTTAGTTCAAATACGGCTAGTACACGTTCATATTCGATATCGAACACGAATGAATTAGTAAACAATAAAAATCCACAAAATTATCTTGTTCATGCTTCTAAACATCGTTCAACACCTTATCTATCATCCATGTCATCATCAACATGTTGCTGTATGGATGATGAAGATTCTGTTTTACTTCCATCATCATCATCACCACCCACATTTTCACTAACAACATCTTTGCCCTCTTCGTCATCCACTTGGAACAGTCGAATCGTTCGTAAGCTCAATTCAATTGCACATCGTTTCAATGCACGATCCTACTCATGTCTAATATCACCTGATCGAACGAAATTGTTAATTACACCCGACTATGAAGATAAACATTCATATAGCCATCAAACTCATGAAGTGACTGTCATTTTCGATATCAAAACATATGCAATACTTCGCATAACGCCAGCTCGTATGTATAGAATCAAAACACAACTGAGCAGAAGTTTTCAAATCGTTTGTTCTAGGTTATGATCAACGATTTGCATTTGATCCACGTTACGGTCATTCGCGTCTAGCAGAATTCGATACAGTTCGTGGCCAAATAACTGATATAAAGAAAGATCGTGTCCTTGTTTGCTCAAATCATACCTTAAAAACTAAAGTGTATCGAGTCGAATACACACATGATGGACATTTGATTATTGTTCTATGCACCCGTAAGATCCTATTATCAGTCAATCTTTTCAGAAATCATCATTTGTGTCCGTTTCTTTGTTCTAGTTCCGATATTTCAACGTGTTAAACGGAATTACTTTCTCTATATTCTCAATTCTTCAACTTTATTACACACACGAAGCATCATTGATTATCGTGGTCCATTTTTCTCTCCATTTGTGTTTACTAATGAATTTTCACTTTTGTTTAATATCTATCCATCATTATCAAATTGTGGTTCGACGTTAGCCGTCTTGAAAAATATCGAACCGTCATCAAATGTTCGTCTCATCGAAGTCTACTCCTTACCATACACATGTACAACCTTGAAAGAAGTTACCCGTCGTCATATTTTACGTTATGTTGATCAAAAACAAATCAAACTCTTGCGTTTGCCTGACAACTTAAAAGCTTATCTAGCTTATAAACCACAATTCGTTTAGAAAATATATGTAAATAAACAGCTTTCTAGTCAACATAAATCTGTGTACGAATATCATAATTTTATTTATTTATTTGCTTGCAATACTTTTGCTCTTTTTCTCTCTCAAATTTGTAGTCATTTTCCCCTTGTTCTCTTTTTCATCTCGTCAATATGCTTCGAATGCTTGCATGAATAAAACAAATAAATAAACTACAGTGTATCAAAACCCCTTTCTCTCTCTCTCTTGCTCTTTATCATTTGCGACTAAAGATGCCATGTTTGTAGAATTATGTCAATTCCAACAGCATTGGAAGATCATCATAAACAATTGATACAATATTTCCTCCATGACGGTGCTTATAACGAACATGAATTAATCGATCTGCTGACGAGTTTACGTGATCGATATGATTTGAAGATGAAGGTTAAAGATGAAATTCGAGTATTCAAAGACGGATATTTGCCATTAATGAATAAACACTTGAATCAATATGGAATCGATATTAAACAAGTTACAAGTGAAGAACACGAAAATGACGTGTATTTTGTTTGTGTGCAAAATTTCAAAGCACAGTTTGTGAAATTGGATACTTCGTATACGGAAAAAGAAGCCGCAGTGTTCGAAAAATTATTAGAACTAATCATTACAAGTGATGATAAGTACGTTCATCATTCGCTTGTCAAGATAAGATCTTTTTTTGCGTTTTAGATGCATTCAACCTCGAGAAGTGTACGAGTCTATTCTGTCCAACGATTTAAAAATGACACAGAAAGAATTTGGCGAAACAATGACACGGTTTCAACGTGATAAATGGATTGAAGGCGGACCAAATAATACAGTTATACTTCATTCTCGGGCGATCTTGGAAATGCGATCATTTATTACAGATATCTATCAGGACTATGTAGCAAATTGTCAGAATTGTCGACTATTATTAATCCGAGGATTTGTCTGTTCGAATAGGTAAGTTTCGAAGGAAAAAGAATTGACATTAAGTCTGAAATTTAGCTCATGTGATGTTCATTTGCATCGATCATGTGCTGCTCGATATTTTCAACAGATATCAAATGCCAGACATGGTAAAACAGCTTATCCATGTCCATCATGTAAAAAAGAATGGAACAAAGACGATGTGAACAGCGTGTTAAACTCCAACAGCGTCAATGACGAGAATGGCGATTACCAAGCAACAACAACGGTCAACAAAAGACAACGAACATCAAGAGCATCTAATCAAAATCAGCGATCGTCCAATCGTCGTGTTACTAATCAACATGATGATGATGATGATTAATAGACTTATTGTATCAAACATTCCATGTATATTTGTGTTGTTAAAATACTAGGCTGATAAATCAATTGATTTCTTAGACAGAATTGTCTTCGTTTCTTCTCTTATGGTTTTCTATCTTTATCTCATTTGTTTAGAAAGATAAGCATGTCAAAAGCCATTTCATTTGTTCGAGGTTTTCGTATACCGAAACCAGAAGATATTGAAGATGCACTGGGTGCAGATGCTTCGTTTTCCAATGAATTCAAATCGACATTTGGTTCTCTGACAAGTCCCACGCACGAATCAGACTGGTTAGCAAATTACAAAGAAACTGGACAAACATATGCAGATTTCCTCGAAGATTGCCCCTTTCTTGAGGATGGACATCCTCTACAAAAATATATCTATCTGACATTGTTGGATGATGATGATCGTTTGTCGATATTGGATATAAACCGTTTAATTGATTATACTCAACGATTCTTTCAAATGGAAGTTAAACTTATTCCTTTGTTTACGAATATCAACTGGAATCAGTCAAAACGATCATGGACATGTAAGTACTACGTTTATCAATTAATGTATGTGGATAAATTATAATGCTTAGGTACAACCAAAGGTAGAAATGATATGGCAAGGGAAACAAAACTTCGTACGCGATACGATGCAGTTAGTGAACACTCGCAGATCTATGTCGAGAGTATTCTGACGCTTTTGAAACGTTCCGTTCCAACGGATGCACGTTGTCTTGTCGCGATAACAATGCATGATTTTTATTCCGATGAGTCCGATTTGTTCATTGCTGGTTTAGCACAAGGGAATGCTCGTGTTGCTGCATTTTCGTTCTTTCGTTATGATCCTCGTTTAAAATTCGGTTCGGAGTTCTGGTATGACTGGAAAGTCAAGACGATGAAGCCGTCTTCAATATCACAGATTATACTCCTACGGTCATGTCGTCTGTTGACACATGAGATAGGACATCTGCTTGGTATTGATCATTGTATATATTACAATTGTTTAATGAATGGCAGTGGTCATTTGGAAGAAGATTTCTCACAGCCATTGTTTTTGTGTCCTGTTGATCTGAGGAAATTGATGAAACTATCGAACTCGGATTGTATTCAGCGATACGAACAGCTGCTAGAGTTTTGCACAGCGAATCAATTCGAACTGGAAATTGAGACATTGAGAAAACGTTTAGAAATATTAAAGAAAGATCAATCAAAGAAGAAGAAGAACATGAGTTCAACTGAGAACGAACCACCACGGAAAGTAAAACGCATGAAGAAAGCATCTGTTTAAACTTGTGTATTCACGAGAATGAGAGACATTCAATATTCCAGATCAAAATGTTTTACCTTTGTTTGTTAATACAAATGCACATTGCCACTCGCTTAAATCAATTGACTTCGCTTCGGATATTCTCTATTCTAGATAGAGAAAGATGTCATTAAAGATTCTGGAAAACCCATTACTTAATCCATGGCAACATTTCACTATCTATGCAACACATAATGTAGGATTTGGTAAAGTACTCACTTAAAGATGTACACAATCGTTCTCTTTTTAGCGCTATATTGTCGTAGCAATGAACAAGAACCGATCAAAGTGTCGAATTCTCAAAATCGATCGTATGGATCAAAAAGAATTAAGTATCATTGAAGATCAAGTCGGTATCGCTACAGTACTAATTGGAGATTTCGAAGATTATCTTCTATTATAGCATGAGTATTCACATAGTGAACTACGCCAACTTCTCGGTACAATCGAAATAAGCAACAGTCGAGTCGGTGGCTTCAGTAAAACAATTCATTGCCACGGAATTATCGGTAAAAAGCCATCGATGTGTGGAAACTATCGAGAGACACGATTTGCAATTGTTTATTAGGTTTTATTAAATTTCTCGAGGGATACTATATGCTTGTGATAACCCGACGAAGTCAAGTCGCTCGAATAGGTTACCATCGAATCTACAAAATTGACGAAACAGTTATGTTAGGCATTACAAATGAAGATATAAAAAAACTCCATCCTGACGAAAGCAAGTACGAGTCTTTTGATTTTTTTGTACTTGATTTAATCGTATTCGTCTTCTAGATATCTTCGTGCATTACAAAATGTCGATTTAACCAATGGATTCTATTTTAGTTATACATATGATTTGACACACACATTACAATTCAATCTTATGCACCAAAGTTCCAAGTCCGATGAAGAGAACAACAAGGAGGGCTTTTGTTGGGGAACGCGTTATCAGCCGACATGGAAATATGTTTGGAATGAATATCTTCAGGAACCACTACGAGCTCAAGTTCACCCAAGATGGTTACTTTTCATCGTTCATGGTAGAAAGATCTTGATGAACAATGGTTTGAAATACATGAGCTTGCATTTGTAGGAGTTATATTACAATACAATCTGAATGTATTTTGTCGTTCGATTTACCTAACATTAATCTGTCGACGCTCACAAAGGTACTCTGGAACGCGATTTCTCAAACGTGGGGGCAACTGCAAAGTAAGAAGAACATATCGATTGAGCAAGAAGTTATTGCTGTGATAACTAGGGCTATGTAGCGAATGAAGTTGAAACAGAACAGATCGTTCATGATGCTTCACTATCATCGCTTGGAAAGAGTCATTTCACGTCGTATGTGCAATTACGTGGAAGTGTACCTGCGTTCTGGAGCCAAGATCCAAAACAAGTGCCCAAACCACCTATCGTCAGTAAGTTAACGACTAAGCAGAGCTAAGTTACTGATTCCGTTATGCTCTTCTTTTCCTATTTAATAGTTGACATGAATGATCCAACTTATGTGGTCGCATCACAACATTTTCGACAACTGCTCTATCGATATGGTGCACCAAGTAAGTTCAAAACATTTGCTACAATGCTTTCAGCTTCCCACTTGTGTTTTAGTTCTTGTGCTGAACCTTGTGAAAGTACGTCTGACTTTTATTTGAATTCCTATCGAAAAATTTCTCTTCTAGAAACATGAGAAGAAGAAACAGGAGTACATTTTATCCGAAGAGTTTTGTAGTGCTCTGGATTACATCAAACAATTCGTTCCTGACGAAAATAATATCCAATATCTACCATTTGACATGGCACGTGCCAATCGTTCGTACGTAGATACCTATGTTTTGTCCGATGATGATGATGAATTCGTCTTTTTCAGCAAACACCGACGCGTCATGCCGAAATTAGATGAAATTGCTCGACGCTTTCTCCAACAAACAGGATTCTTTCAAAATTTTCCATTATTAGTTAATGATAAGCAATATTTTTATGACAAGTAGACGAGTCTTCCAAACGAAAACATCAACTGACTTCATTATTTTCAGAGAGAATGCAATTCGACTAACACCATATCAATCATTCTTTGTTCAAACAGGCGTTGTACGAGTCAATTGTGTCGACTGTCTTGATCGGACCAATACAGCCATGTTTGCAGTGGCAAAATGTGCACTTGGATATCAGGTAAGACTTTGAAATGAATTACAGTATGCTCGATCACACTATCCTCGTCCATTTTTAGTTATTCGCAATGGGTCTGACAGATTCTCCGCATCTACAGGAAGATTCATCCGTTGAACTGTTCGTTGTTTTTCTTTCAAGCAGACTTCTAAGACGAGAATTCCTTTATTTAGAGTCATTAAACAATTATTTGAACATTCAGGTGACATTCTCGCCCAGCAGTATGCTGGTAGTCAGTTAGTTCATCGAATTGATACTTATAAAAAGCTTACCCCCGCTTGGGCAACACAATCCCGAGATATTGTACAAACACTTTCACGTTATTATTCCAATACGTTTTCCGGCATGTAGTCTACATTATCTCTTCTTCTACTCTCATCGCCTAATTTTACCAAATAGATGCAGAAAAACAACATGCAATGAACTTGTTCCTTGGTATCTTCCAACCAAAAATCGGTCGTCCACATTTCTGGGAATTAGCCAGTGATTATCATTTACATGACCCACGATTAGTATCTGGTTATATGCCACCACAGTAATTTGTCAAGAGATCTGTTCAACCTGTATTTTTACGTGTCCTTCTTTTTGTTTAGCTGCACAGATATTCTAGGTGATGATATTTGGTTTTCTCTACCTTTTGCAGCTGAACAAGGTTAATCATTTGTGAAGTTCTCTCCTTCGAACAAAGAAATATTTATTTGCTTTCAGTATTGAAGTCTCGAAACGACTGCTTGGAAATTGTGTCGGTAAGGGAAGATGATCCACTTGTTGATGGCTTCAACGAGTATTATCATCCCGATGAATTGACAGTTTTTGAGGAAAAATTCGAATGGCATATGGATTCAACTAACAAGTAAATACTTGATCACTACGATAGAGCATTCTCACGAGGAATTCATTATTCTTTAGAGATATTGCCTATAACTATGGAAATATTCGTGAATTTACGCCGTTTTCTATTCGTGATCATAAGCAAAGAAAGACCATCACTAGTCTCGGGTAAACTGCCAGTTAATTCTTTTTTTTTTCCAGAGGATTCATTATTTTGATTATCTAGTCTAATGGCTGATGTTCAACAACGAGCACTTCTTCCTCCAACTGCTGCATTGTCCACTCCGTCACCACAGGCCAATCAAGATCAATCATCAGACGAAGATATATTCGACGACACGGACACAGACGACGAGAATTTCCGAAAACAATCCCAAATCTCGAATAAGAAATCTTACAAATCGAAAATAATCAATCGATCAATCAATGATGAATCGAACAGTAGTGCAATGCAAATCAAACGTTTATTAAGTACGATATTTCCCACAACAAACGATGTATATGGCTTTCATTTGAATGAGCCATCAAGTGAATCTTTACAGTGTTATGAACAATATGCGCGAATGGCACGTGATGCATGTTTACCAACATCGACACCGTCATCAAATAAACAGCATTTCAACGAATTGTCAATCCAATCGTACCAATCAGTTTCATCTAATTCAAGTTTTGAAATGTTAACTCACTTATTTTTCCTGTCATCTGTCGGCTAAAACTTGTCTTTTTTTTTTGTCTAGTATTTTACCGTCAGCCACTGAACGAACTAAAAGTAAACAACAGCAACTATTACAACAGCAACAAGCAGAGTTTTTGTCGCTACAACAGTCTCTTGCGTCGATGTTCGATGAACCGATTGTCACCGATGAGACAATTCGTATTTACGAACAATGTGTAGCTGTTGGACATGAAGGACCATTTGAACCGTCAGATGTTGATCGTTTAGTGTACGAAGAATACGTTGCGTCTTTGATGATTCCTGTTCAATCGTAAAATTGTGAATATTTTCCAATCTATTTCGATTTTTGATATCCGTCTTATAAAATTGTCAAATAAATTTCATTGCTTTTATGGTTGTAGATGTACTATGTGGCCGAGAATGTTTCTCCGTCGTATGATTCAGTTTAATCTCCTCTCTCGATCATTCAGCATTTCTTCGTCAAACAATTTTGTCCGTATATTTGAAGTTGGTCCTCGAGATGGTTTACAGAATGAAAAGATAGTCGTTCCAACACCGATTAAAGTTGAATTCGTCAATCGACTAAATCGAACTGGTCTCAAAGCCATCGAAGTCACAAGTTTTGTTTCTCCGAAATGGGTTCCGCAGATGAGTGATCATGTCGAAGTGCTTGCTGGTATCGAACGAGTGCCCGGTGTTTGTTATTCTGCATTGACACCTAATGTGCAAGGTATCAACAAAGTCGTCTCCTTAGGCGACAAGGGTGTCGATGAAGTAGCCATATTCTCTGCTGCATCAGAAACTTTCTCTAAAAAGAATATTAATTGTTCAATTGAAACATCACTACAGCGATTCGATGAAGTCATGAAAGTTGCTCGACAGAAGAATCTACCAGTTCGGGGATATGTGTCTTGTGTAGTGGGTTGTCCATATGAAGGAAAGATCTCACCAGCGCAAGTTGTACCTGTCGTTCAGAAATTACTTGAGATGGGATGTGTAAGTCTTTTCATTAGTTTTCTGTTCCCTGAAAGTATTGTTCGCTTTACATAGTATGAAATTTCATTGGGTGACACGATCGGCGTGGGAACACCAAAATCTATTGGCGAATTATTACAAGCATTGAATTCCAGCGGTGTCCCGTCGGCTAAATTAGCCATTCACTGTCATGATACATATGGACAAGCGATTGCGAACATCGCCAAAGCGTTGGATATGGGCATTCGATGTGTTGACTCAAGTGTAGCCGGTCTCGGTGGTTGTCCATATGCAAAAGGTGCGACAGGCAATGTGGCAACCGAAGATGTGATATATTTATTACACGGACTTGGCTATGAGACAGGCGTCGATCTTGATCAACTGATTGATGCTGGTGACTTCATCATGAACTTTTTAAAAAGACAAAACAAATCGAAAGTCGCACAAGCACTTCTATGCAAACGACAGGATTAAAGCAAAGCTACACAGGAGAAGAACAGTACCACAGAACAATAAAGATTGTCTGTCTGACAGTTGAATCATATCTGTTCGTCTATAAATATGTATGTCTATTTTTTTTCTCAAGAAAAAAATGAATTAAAATAACATTGTGAAAAACAATGATACATACATTCTGTTTCTTACTTTTGTGTGACTGATTGTTTGCAAAACGTGAAAATATGCCGTGTTACTAACTATTCTTGAACAAATGTCGTTGAACGATGCGAACGAGAAAACAAATTGACCAGTTAGCGAACTTAATATTTCATTCTTGCTTTTGTATCGATTGTTGTGTTCGTTTTATCGAGAAATATTTAATTAACAAGTGCTAACATTGTGCTCAAACCAGGTGTTGATTTACCTTTAGACAGTGAAATTTATCAGAGAGTATCAACACGTAATTTGTTTTCTTCTTCCTTCCACGTGCTCTCGCAACATAAAATTTCAACGAAAATATTTTATTTCATACCTGCAAAAGAACGCACATTCTTTTTCGTTTCGCGTAACTCTGCGGATTCTTTCGATTCTCTACAGTCAAGGTTATGAACAAACCACACGTCTAACATGGAATATTTTCAGTTTTAGATTGTCCTCAGTCGAATCGAATGGATTCATCAGCCGACTGTCAAGTTATTTTGACTACAATCGGCGAATTCTATCGTATAAGCATGAGTGATTCCGATGAGAAAATTAAAACTTCATTACAAACGATTCTCAAGCTTTGGCCGGACGTTCTTCATGCCGGCAATACGGCTACCGATGACGAATTGTTCTCGTTGAATGTGAGTCGTGCAGTTTTCACCCAAATCTTTGCTATTACTTTGTCGAAAGAATTCTTCAATAAAGACCATCTATTGATTCGTGAGATTTTCTTTGCGCTCTTCAGCATTCTGACCGGTTATACACATATCTTCAAAGAAAACAAGTCGGCTTACATCGAATCGAATGTTCGTCTCATCATCAAAATGATGACAAGTGTCGTCTCAGTCGTACGATTTCAGCACGATGATTTGACAAAGCCGGAGGAACAGAATTTACTAATCGCTATACGTGAACATATTGACAGTGATGATCAACGCGACAGTTTATCGGATGGATCGATATCGTTGATATGGAATTTGTGCGATAAAACGATCTTAATCCCGACAATGTTGAAAGCTGGCTATGGAAGGAATATCCTCCAATGGGTTGAACAGCGTGAAACGAAATTTCGAGAAGAAAAAATCGACGCGCCCATACACATTCTGCATAATTTCCTACGACATGATGATGGAATCGACGAATTGAACAGATATAATCCACTCAGCGTTATTGAAGCTATTAAATTTGAACCAAGTGTTTCTGATGACGATGAACACGATTTGACAATACATCTAGCAATGATTCGTGCACTTCTGACTGATTACGATCAGATAAAACAAGATGCCGCAAAGTATACACATAAAGCTATCAATATGCTATTACAAATATCTATTAATGCAGCAAAGCATGAGAAATACCGTTATAATGGTTTTCACGTTTCCGAACCATTGACTGTGCTGGTGAAGTTATTTCATAATGATGAAATATTGCATGGTATTCTCAACAAGAATGAAACGAAACCTCCGACAACGATACAATCAATCATTGAACTTTTCACAACATTCCTATCAAAATCTTATCCGAAAATGACTGGTGACAATGATGTTTTAGATAATTATACATGTGTGGTGATCTTCAATTTGTTTTGGATTCTGTCGAATCATGAAAGATATCATGACTCGCTTCGTGAGGGCGAGACATTGATAGGAATTGTGAAGAATGCAGTTGTTGATCCGCAACGATTTGTTGATACATTCATGCCACGCACAATGAAAAGTATTTATGAATCTGCAAGCGAGACTTTAAAAAATTTAGGTATTGCGCGACTTTAGTTTCATTTATGATTCCAAATTTTATCTTAATCACGAGCCTTTGGATATGTAAATTTCAATTTTTTTTATATGACTTAATAAAAAAAGACAGATGCGATTATTTACTTTGATGCAAAGATTATCATGACAAGTTCTAATTAAACAGTACCAGAGACCTCAGTCAGGTGCTGTTTGAGATAATGATTAAAGATCTCGTTCGATAACTTTGGGATTACTTATACAACTATTGAAATTCAAATCGAACCTGCAAAGATGTTGAGATATACCGAACGTTGGAAAAGCCAAGGAAAACATACACACTTGACTTGATGTGTTGTCATCTGATAGTGCTAATTCCACTGTTTCATCTGCGTATGTTCCGAATAAACTGAAACATAGTCGAAAAGTCATACTTTTCACGCTGGATGACATTAAAGCAAAATCGTTGAGATCATGGAATAAACTTATCGAAACGTCGATCTAACTGACAACTGAATATCACAAGCAGATTCATCGTATTAATATATGTCTCCAATGTTCTAGTTGTGGTACTGACATTTATTTCCGTGATAGAAACATGTCTCTCATCTTTACCTGTAGGTCCACAACTAAAAGATATCAAAGAAGTTTCGCAATGTTATTTTATTATACTGATAATGAAACTATATTTTGATTTTATCACTTGCATATTTTAGGTACACATTCTTCGTAGATACCTGAATTGTAGTTTTTCATTCAACTGCGTGTATAGGCCCCCTGAATATCTATTGCAGACGATTAAGAGGCTTATATGCATGCTAAGTTCATTTGGAAGAAAAGAAGAGATCTCGATTATTGCTTTTGCAATATATCATTACAAGAAACTATGTCATTTATTCAGTGAAATCTGTTTATCTTCATAATAAAAATGTCAAACATATATATTAAGAAACTACTTCAACAGTATAAGACGATAAGATAAGAAAGAACTCAAAATGTATAAAACTGTCAGATCTCTACCAGCCAAAAACAATAATCTTTTCGTTTATGATGAACTTGCACTGGCTCATATTGTTCTTTGTTCTTGTGACTACTTGCGCACAAGGTGAGTTTTCTATCCATACATTTAACTTATTGAGTAATCGCATTTTTCAGGTGCCCTCCCAGCTACACCTCTATTCTTTCGTGGACTATGGTGTGTAGCAAAATGGTCAAGTACGACTCAATCATATACACAAACTGGTCAAGCTTTCTTTTACAATAATGGTACATTCACAATGAACTATCTTGACAACCCTTCGTCGACTTGGGTACGACTCAGTCGTTGCATACCGTCTCATTTCATTTCATTTGAACAAACTATGTATAGGTCAATCATTTCACGGCAGTGAATAATACCGATGGTGCTGGTGGAACATATCAATTTCTGACAGTTACAACAAAAGGTAAAAACAATTTACTTGAAACTACAAAAGATCATCGACTATTTGTTATGTAGGTCCTTCTGAACTTGTCAACAAAACATTGTGCTATTGGCGACGAAAGATTTCCAATACTGAAGTGCTCTTTGGCCGGCAATCAAATGGTACTTGCACTTCAACATTTGAAAATGATACATCAACAGATGCACTGCGATACACGCGAACACCAACAACTTGTCGTTATATCGATGATGAAAATACCAATCTGGTCATATCGGGCAGTTCCTTCGAAGTAGGAACACTTCTTCCATACGATCGAAATTTAGCAACCGCCGTACGCGAAGCTGTGGTGTTCTATGGAAGTTCATCGATTGTTAAATGGACAACATTAGCAACAGATTTTCCTGACTACACAACACTCAATCGAGGCTTTGGTGGATCGACATTACTTCAATGTTACCAACAATTCAAACGTATTGTTCAACCATTAGAGCCAAGCATCTTCATCATTTATGCAGGTGAAAACGATATTGCCGGTGGAACAACACCAGTTACATTACAAACAGTCTTCCGACAGTTCGTTCCATTGATTCGTCGCTTCTATCATAATACACCGATTGCTTACATCTCATTGAAGCCAAGTCCATCGCGCGTTAGCAAAATGAGTCAAATGAACGATGCAAATAATCGTATTCGGCAAGACATTAACTTACTATTTCCTGGTGTGACGTTCATCGATATCTGGCCTGATATGTTGCTTCCTAATGGACAACCAAATCCTGACTTATTCGTTGCCGATCAGTTACATATGAATAGCAAAGGTTATGCTATCTGGACAAAAGCAGTTAGCGCTTATTTAGAATCAGTATTTGCGAAAAAATAACTTGCAAAGGAAAACACATCGAACCTGACTTTCACTAGTTAGTAAAGTTATTCATATTTGTCATTTTAATCTTAAATAAATTCATCAAGAACTCCTATAATATCGAGATTAAAAAACGCAAGTTTTATTGTTTAATCAGTAGAAAATAAACAGACAAATTAAAGACAAGACTAATTACAATAGAATGAAAACGAAATCGTTCGTCGTGAGCAGAGCCAGTCAACTCACCCTTTTGTGCTATGAAATGATTTGCCTCTTCTGCAAAAACAGAGTCCGCATTATTCGACGAAGTGATTTGATCAAGTAATTTTTGATAAAGTCGCTCAGCAGCATTATTATACCGAAGCTGCGAATAGGCGCGAGCCATACCGAGAATATTGATTGCTCGATTAGGTGCCGACATATCCGCACTCTCATAGAGATTCAACGCATACTGCGGAAATTGACTTACAGTAATGGCAGTACTGTTTAACATGTAAGTTGTCAAATTAGCTGGTACCTAAATTGATCACATAGAGATCATATTTTGTCTAAGAATAGAAATATGAAGTTACCGTTGAATCGATATATTTTCGATGAATAAGTAAGAGATGCATTGCGAGTAATTCGGATGAGCGTGCATATATCAATGTCGGGCTATTATTATCCATAACAAGTTGAGACTCAGCTAGTGCCGCTTGTCGTAATACATTTAAACATTCTTCGAGTGAATTGTTTTTGTAAAAGATTATTCCTTGAACTTGATATATCATCAATGAAATACTAGTTGAGATATATTTATTCAACGGCGCTGTTCGATTTGCAAGAACAGCAAAACGAGCAAGATGTTCATCTATAGTCGCTTTAACTGTCGGATCCGAATAGCTTGTATTGACGCTTGTCAAAAGTCGAAGGCACATACCTAAATAATTCTTTTCGATTAGACTGTGCATTCAAATGAGCGGTAACATATACTTAGTCGATATCCTGCTTCACTCCATGATAAATCCCAATCGGTCTTATCATCGCTTGATGCTATGAAATCTAGTGTTTCACTCAATCGTTGGATTTCATTTGCTTTGTCAATAAATTGAGTATCATAAGGTAACCAGTAGAAAATGTTTATAACAGCCCGAGCTCGAGTTCGATATGCATATGATAAATATAGATTCGATGGTGGTTGTGATTGATTGTATGCAATATAAAGATCGAGTATTGGAGAGAGTGTTCCTTGCCAATTGCCTGTTTGTAAACGAGAGAAAGACAACCATTCGGTGAATGTCGCGCGATTTCTGGCATCGCAAAGAAGAAAGGATTGCATTTGAGATGATGAATTCAGCAGTGCTAAAATAGAGCTGAGTTGACTTGAGGGTATTGTGCTGTTACGCCCGAGTATTTTGATCAAACACAATGTTAAACTGTCAATCAGCGCTGTTTCATCCGACGATTTTGCCGAAATCATGGATCCTACAGAGAAAAATGTTCAATTATTTTGAGCAAGAAATCTTTCAGAATTGTAAAGAATCAAAATCATTCACCTGTACGCATAAAAATTAGAGCCGGTATATGTTTCGAATAGGACAATTGTGACGATAAATTTTGATATTTAGTTACAAAATCTATTGCTTTTGCGGAAATGTTGCTTTGAGCAACATCATAAGCTCGTATCATATAGTGAAGAGCACCTGGATGTGTCGGTTCATTTGTTAGAGCAACTTGTAATACTTCTCTGGCTTTGATCATTGGTTCTGGTTCCATTTGACCCTCGTATTGATATTGAAATGCAACATTCAAAAGCGATAAACCCCACAAAACTCGAAAGTCAGTCTCACTCGGAGACGCCTCGACTAGTTTCTCAATCGCAGACAAGAACGCCAATTCTCCAGCTGCTACCGATGATTGATTTGAATACCAAGTATAAACAGTTTGAATAAGAGAAGACTGTTGAGATGTCAATGTGACAGTATATTTCGATTCTATGCTTGAGATGTTATTGTACACATCTAATCCACATTGAAAATCTGTATAGGATCCCAACGGGCGTTTACATCTAGTTTAGCAAGGTGAAATGAAACGATCTTAAAACAAATGACTTCATGTAACATACGTGAGCATTTTACCAACATAGGCTTCGATAAATGTCGGATCAGTTTCAATTGCCAGATCGAAAGCTTGTTGAGCTTCATCGTACATAAACGAATGCAAACAAAAGTATCCGATAGCGAAATGATGGTGTGCTAGCGAAGATTGATTTAATGATATTCCCAACGGACGTTGTATATTCGCCAATTGTGCATAGATCTCCCACGGTAGAATACCATCAGATGTATTCCACGATTGAGAAATAATTTGATTGTAACTAGTAAAGAGAACTAGAAGAGCAAACAGTATCATGTTGTTCGATCAAGCACTGAATAGAAATGAATCAAACAATGGATTAGTTAGAGTACACTCCTATTATCGGTTATAAATAGAAGACAAGCGTTCTCATAAAAAAAAACTGTGCACCTGTAGAACAATTGAATCGGTGAGTTTTGTCATCTATCGATATGTATGAAATAGACGAATCATTCAACGTTGCGCTGAAAGTACAAGCCAACGACAGAGTAAAATTAGACTCTAGCAAAAACGTATGCATCAGTAGGTATTCAAGGTAAATATTCTGTTGTCTTTCTTTGACGTTTACTTTGGAACGATACGTATTATATTAATGTGTAAGATTGAATACAACATGCTATGAATGGATTTCGATGCATTCATGTAGAGAACCTTTGTTTTTATCGATATAAAGGTGCCTGAGTGTGTTAGTTTTAGTTCTTTGAGATAGAAATTCGCGAATGTATTTTACAATCGATTTTATTCAAGTTTCAGTGCAAAAAAAAGAAGATAGAAGTGAAAAAATGATTAACATGACCGGCAAAGTGCGGCTTATCGTCGAATTATGTTGTTCAAGGAATTCATTTGCTTCTTGAAGGAAATTTTCATCACTATAGTTCGCTGAAGTCATTTGAAAAATGAGTTGTCGGTATAAATTCGTTGCTGTGTGTGCCCGATCGAGATGAGCATTTGCTCGAGCCATACCAAGTGTGTTAATCGCTCGGTTCGGAGCGAGCTTATCGGCTTTTTCATAATAATCCAATGCTAGAGATGGAAATTTATCTACAGAAATTTCTGTGCCGTTCAATTTGTAAATAAAAGAATCAGTCGAATTCTAAATCAAAATAATGATGATTTTATTGAATAGAAACGAAGATTTACCATATTGTCTTGATATTTTTCATACATCAGTAAGAAATGTAAAGCTAGTAACTCTGATGAACGTGCAAATATCAATGTTGGATTGTTTCCGTTGGATAACACCTTTGATTCTAGCTGAGTAGCTGCGAATAGTTCATTCAAACATTCCTGCCATGATCCATTAACAAAAGCGCGCATTCCACGAATTTGCGGTATCATCATTTGAATGTTATTTGCTACATATCTACTGAAGGGTATTGTTCGATTCGATAAGATGTCCAAACGAGCAAGATGACGATCAATCGTCGAGAAAACGTCAGATTTGTTATTACTCGAACGAAAATTAGTCAACAATTGAAGACAATCGACTAAATGAGAATTCGATAGAGAGGTTAAGCATTACGAAGAGCTACTTACCGAATCGATAGCCTGCTTCACTCCATATTTGGTAGAATCCTGTAGCATTATCGCCAAACAAAACTAATGGTTGATCTTTATTGAATACTAGCAAAGATTGTGATTTGTCGAGAAATTGATCGTCGTATGGAAACCAGAAGAAAATCTCGACAACAGAACGCGCTTGTGTTCGATATGCGAACGGTAAATAATGAAGCGGTGTTAACGATGATTGATTCTCAGCAAGAAATAAATCTCGTAGCAAAGAAACACTTCCTAACCAGTCACCTGCTTGCAAACGAGAGTAACTAAGCCATTCGGTAGAATGAGCTCGATTTTCAGCATCACATTGCAGAAATAAACGAACGTCATTTGAGGAATTAAACCGCATCAATATCGATGGTAAATCGGAAGACGAGATGGATACATGTTGCTGGAGTATTTTCGTAGCGCATAGTCCAAAACTTACTTCGACCGCTGTTCGATCGGCGGATATAGCTGAGAGCCACGCACCTATTCGTACGTGAATTATTAAAATCATGAACAAAAGCCATTCCTTCTCTCCGTACCTATCCGCATCCAAATATGCGCCGGCATATGTTGTGCATGTGAAAGAGTTAGAACGGTTTTATTGAAAGTTATGGCGAATTCAGTAGCCTTTTCAGCTGTTGTCACTCGATCGACGTCGTAAGCGTGAATTAAATAATGAAGAGCCCCTGGATGTGTTGGCTCTTTTCTCAAAGCGAGTTTCAATACTTCTCGCGATTTCGCCATTGGCTTCGGATCGAGTTGACTTTCGTATTGACTCTGATAAGCTACATTCAAAAGTGCTAAACCATATAAAACTTGAATGTCTGTTTCGTTTGTGTACATTTTTGCTACTTTCTCAATCGATGACAAAAATGCTAGTTCGCCTGCTGTCACCGATGACTGATTTGCAAACCATTCATAAACACTAGCAAGCAACAGCGATTGCAGCGTTGTTGGTGTGATATTGGATGTTGTCAACATTGTTTTCGATGAATTATAAGCAGTCAGACCACACACGAAATCAGTATCTGCCCACAGTGCATGTTTGCATCTAACAATCAAAAGAGTAGAAGAGAGATTCGAAAAGCAATTGAACGACTTACGCGAGCATTTTACCGATGTATGCTTCGAGAAATGTAGGCGTGGCATTGATGGCAAGATCAAAAGCATCTTGTGCTTCGTCATACATAAATGATTGTAGACATAGATATCCGATTGAAAAATGATGATGAGCTATTGAAGAACGGTTGAGTGTCAAACCCAATGGCCGTTCGATGTGACCCAATTCTAAATAAGATTCCCATGGAAGAATCTCACCAGTTGTATTCCAAAATTGACAATCAGCAAACTGATTGATGGTGATGAATGTTAAGATAATGATGAAAATCATGTCTATTCAGATAAAGAGAAGGAAACAATTGATACAGATAGAAATTGTCCGAAGTATAAATGTACTTATTGACACGTTAGCTTGTTTGTCAGGATCGATGAAAAAATGCTCATGTACGATTAGATCAATATCAATCTAAATTGTATTCAAATATTTGCGGTTATGCAACGAAAGGAAGAGAGAAAAAGATCAGGTACTCTCATCCATTAGTACAAAAGAAGACGAAAGATGATCTCAAAGCATTTATACAATTGAATCAATATTACATCGTTTAAATAGTCATTTATCGGACGTCATTGAGTTCAAACATAACTTCGATAGATTTATAGTAAACAATCAGATCCGTTTACTCTGATTACTACGATACTATTTTTAAATATTATCTTTTCACTACTCACATTACATGTGAAAACGAACTAGATCTATTGAAAGTTGTGAACTTTCTCATTATGCTCTGTTCGAACTCATTCTGTCTAGTTTGGAAAAGGATTATTTATTATTTTTGCATATATAACTGACTCGCGTGCGTCAACTTGAGAAATCATTTGTTTCTCTTTTATTTGAATAAATCTTCCGTTAAAAAAACATAAATAAATCAAGAATAAGAATAAAAAAATAGAAAGAGAGACAGTTAAATCATCAATCACTAGTTTGTCGTTGTGGAACTGAGCTAGTTAATAATCTTCATCTGTTTTAAGTATTTGACTAGCTTTTTATCGAACCATTTCTTATAAGGAGTAGCACGTAGCCATTCTTTTGGTAGTTTCTTATAACCATATCTTGCTCCAAACATTGTTCCGCACACCGCCCCATTTGTGTCAGCATCACCACCATATCGAATAAGATCATTAAGAGTTTTTTCAAATGATTCATTAGATCTCAGTCCATAAAAACCGGAGCCTAAACACTTGTATGTATAGCCAATACTTCTTGGCTCGTCAAGGTCTAAGTCACTGAGAGTGCGGCTCTTATCAGTATGCCATAAGAATGCTTCACGATGTGCTGTCGAAAGCTGATCGCCAAGAGTGTCTATAGTTTCCGTTTGAGCGCGCTCAATCAATGATTCAATATCAACATTCTCATCTTTTTCGTTCAGTAAATAAGTAATAGTTAAACAAACTGCAAGACATGAAGCAAGGCATCGAGGATCAAAATGAGTCACTTTACACATATTCATTGTTGTATCTTTCATCTACCAGAAAATGTTGTAGAAATGTCATCATGAAGGATATTTTACGAGTTTCTACCTTGTCTTTATCTTGAAAATGGACTAGAGCAGATGCCGAACATCTCATGACCGCTCCGTTGGGTGCTGCTTGTCGACCACTGCGAATCCATACAACTTCACTGGCTGCAAGAGGATCTGTCAAGTAACCAGTAGAATGAACAACCTAGTTTTAAACAATTCCTTTTTCTTATCTCTATAGGAAGGGAATGAATAACGATTCGAAATACCTGTGATACATTTGCTCCTAAACCCATTCCACCATGATCTCCTAATTCTGGATAGCCTCTTTGAATCCAGGATTTTAGTTTTCTAGCGAACAATTTCACATCACCGTCTGGCTCCATTAATGTTTCCAGAATAAGAATCCATTGATCCGTATCGTCAGTCCAATCGCCGCGTGCCCATCGACGATTGTGATGAGTGGAGATATAATCTGGAAATGGGATTAGTTTTGTAAGATCCGGATAATTTTGTTGAACTAGTGCACGATCTTCGAATTCTGTTGCTAACCCATATGCATCACCAAGAGCTTGTCCATAAGCGCAGCCAAGGAGACGGTCAAGCAATTTAGCTGTTTCACCTGATTGTTTAGCTAACAACGTTTCAATTAAATCAGGTTCATCTTTCTCATACGATATGCCATTGTCGTTCAAAGATTCGGGTGTATCCGAATCAGAAGATGGTTGCCTTTGAATTGTTGGAACTTCGTGGACAGTATGCTCAGACGTATTCTTTTCGTTCGTATTGGATGGAGAATCTTTGTCGACATTCATCGGAACTTGCACATCATCACTCTGTCTGTTATCATTGCTGTTCAAGGATAGTGATGAACTACTTGCAAGTTGGCTGAAAGATAAAATATGTCAAGCCATTAGATTATCACCGTGTCGACTGAAGATTCCCGCTCGAAATATTTCACTGAATAGGATCAAATCATTTGAAAAAGAACTCAGAAAGCTTCTGAATTGCATCAAACGAGAATAATACAGCAAATTGAGTAAACAAGTTTTCAAGATATTTCGATCAGGTACTTTTATGATAGCAAACGAGATGAGTCATAATTATCAACCCTGTTTTAGTCAGAGACATAAGAAATACACTTTATCACGTGTTACGAAAGTTAAAATCAAAAGACCATTTGAAGACTGACACTTACTTCCCAGATTCGTCGCGATTTTCACCATTGTCACCCATCGTTATTGTAGGTAAAAAGCAAAAATGTGTTAAAATAGTATCAACAAGACGTGGATAAAGAACGGAAGAAGAAAAAGACACAAGCAAAAGTCGTACAGCTTGGTTGTTAAAACGACAGGCTTCAACGAGAAAAATGCAGTGCTTGTTTTAGTTTTGCTCTTCGTGCACGATGCAAATTTCTGCTAGACATGTTGTTATTTCTCAAAATGAAATCTAGTAAATTTTCAAAGCCGTTGGAAACAAAACAAATGGGAATGTTCTGTAGATGTCGCTTTTCTTTGACTATTTTACGTTACAGAATTCAGTAATGCTCTAACGAACTGACTTCCTTCTCATATTGAACAAAACGAAATATTCCCGCTGACGGCGAGTTAATCACGTAGTGGGAACAGCACCAACAGAATATGGTTAACTATTTTTTAGTGTTCTGTTTAAAAAATTGCAATGCTTAGTTATGCGAATAGTCAACATGCAATAGAAATGGTACTGAAATAAAACTCGCAAATTTTACCTAAATTCCATAGAGAATGAAAATTCGATTGCGTGAAATGAGTCATCATTTTCATGTGACGATGGTTCTGCTTGGTTGACTGCACATTCAAACATTACATATATAATAGAACTATTGTGATACTCTCATTTACCAGTATGTTCTCATTCCATCTATTTCCTTCTTTATCAAATCGAGTTAACAACTATGGTCCATCCTCTCGTCATGGAGATCCCAACGGTAACTATAATTCAATGACTGTATCAGGTTCTCTTCAAACACCAGGCAAACCATCGCGTCATATGTGTTCTGGTCAAAGCAACTGTTCCTCCGATCGTCCTCATCATCCGCAATATTATTATTGAAATGTCCTTTTTATTTGATTTATTTTACATTAAAAAAATTGATCTAGAGCTCAGTAAGGTAAATAAATTCTTTTTGTTGTATCGCATAGAAAACAAGTGGATAAATACGAGAATAAATAATCACAGTTGAATACTCGAATTTAAATAAATAATAAAGACGAAGAAGAAGCAAATGAAAGCAAAACAAGCTCTCCGAGATTTCTTTACACGATTTTCAAGGTTCTTTGTTCGAAGTTTGAGATTAATCACTTTGAGACAGGCACATGAGAATTATTATCACTTGAAGTATTTGAACTATGTTTTTGTTTCATTTCTACTGCACGAACGTGTGCGAACAAACCGGATCCACCCAGAACAAAGATATTTGACAACCACCAAAGCGATGTTTTCGTCTACAGAACAAATCTTTCGCATATTCTTCATCATTCTTTAAAATCTCACCTCAGCATAAGCAACTACGGCAACTAGTGTTTGAACATACGATTTCGCTGTACCAGATACATTGTGTGTCAATGGACTTGTTATTTGTATTTGGTAACCAGTAACATAGCCCATCGAAAAGCCTAACAGACCCGCGACAGTCATTGTAAATAGGAATGACAAATCGAACAGTTTTGGATAGCTATAAATCGTCGGCACCTCGTTGAAAATTAGCATTAACGGAAGGAATAGAAAACACGCATTGAAATTGTTGTATAAACACAAGCGCCAAACATTTTTGTCGACACATGGTAAACACCGCGTTGTATATATTGCATTCAAGGCAACGAATACACTCGATGCTACACCACACAGAGCACCGAATATTGAAAGAGTACCTTAAAGCAAAAAAGTATGAACACATAACACTGCAAGTCATTGCTTACCTAATGAATGTTCTTGATCGATGCCAAGGAAAAATCCAGCAATAATAAGAGCACAGCAACTCAATGCTTGATAAGAAGTTCTCTCGCCAAGCATAACATACGTAAAGACCTAGAAAAGAATAAACTGACAAGAAATGCACGTTCTATTGACCAACGTACCACGTTGGCGACCGTCGTCAATGAGCGGCCAACCATATAAAAGGAAACACTCAGATATTTTAAGGTTAAATTATTAAATATCATCATTGCAACAAACATAACTGAAAGCGGAAGGACCTAATCGAAAGAACGATTGTTTGATAGTTAAAAGAAAACACTTGTGTTCTCACATACATCACGTGCAATTTTCAAATCAATTTTAAACGAGGGAAATTTCGAAAGAACATTAACACTCTTGTTTAAACTTCCAAGTAAACCGCAAGTTGCGACTGTTACTACGCATTGGTACCATGTGATGAATAACGGTGCATCAAGCTAAAGGTCAGAAAAGAGTAGATATACGTGGGGAAACAAGAGCAATGATCATACTTTAACATCTTTTGAACTTAATAAATACTTATTCAGAAAAACCATGGTTATTGAAACAAGCCTAACCAATGTGAAAGAATAACGATGGATAGCTTAAGAATATGATTCTTACCAATAAAGAAGAACAGCAAATACTATCTGGATATAACGATGTTTTAGTGTATCAGTAGGAGTATTACTGGATGTTGGATCATTGATTGATATTGCAACATCGAGTTTATCTGCAGAATTCTTGCTCATTGTGGAAAAATCAAATCTGAAAAAAAAGTAAAGCTCGATTATATAAAACATTCTACAAAAACACCAAGATGTTTGATCATTTTCATTGAAAGAAAAAATATTCAGGAGAAAAAAGGAACAACCATGGACACAAACATTTATTGCACATCATCTTCAATCGGTGATGAAAACATGAATAAATTATTGAGAAATTCTTCCGTAGCTCTGGTCTGTTCAGTTTTGAGTTCGTTTTTCCGTTCGAAGTAAATCGTTTGAATGAGATCAAGTAATTCTTGATATTCGATTGTTGTGCGAGAATTCGGTTTGCATATGTAAATGTGATTCTTATTCAAAATGTAGAATTTACCGATGTTAATTTGCGAACTTTCCGAAGGTACAACGACTGTTTGATAACGTAAGGAAAATGTGGTTTTTTCGTTTTCAGCAAAACTCAAAACTTTGATATTGTCATGCGCTTTTAATACGTCAAGGAAACGTTCGTGTAAATTGAGGAGGTTGGTACTATTTGGCTGTAACTCTTCAATTTCCACAGTTGGGCGAACGAGAAATGCATGACGAATGCCGAATGAAGCTAAAAATCAATGGATTTGATTTGATTTAATTCAGACTACTACGAACCTAATTCCGCACCGAAATGTGGCACGGAAAAGAAAACACAAGCGCGTGTGTTCAACTTCAATTCTTCATTTTCTTCATTTGTCAAGATGTATTTTGTCAGTAAGCCGCCCATGGAATGTGCCACCTGAAATAAACAATCATAGAATGGTAAGACGTCGATATTAGTTGCTTACCCATATGATTGGTCGTTTACCGACACCGGCTTGCTTTAATTGTTCGGCTATTTCTTGTGCACGGTCGTGCATGGATCGTCGAAGAACATTTCTTGGCATTGAACGAACCTGCCATTCCGAAACGCGCGATTCATAATCGACACCTAGCATGCGGATATGTGATGTCGGTACGTCTTTACTCAACCAATCTTTTGGCCAACATGACGACGATTGTGGTTCGTCGAGTTTCGATGTTGAAATACTGACAGCTGTTTTCGATTTGTTCCAGTTGGTTTCTTCACCGATATCTGCGACTTCATCGCTTTCTTCTTCGGAAAGTTCATCAGTGACAGGTGATGATTTTTCACCGTCGGGTGCTGGAGACGGCAGAAGTTCTGCAGCTTTGATATCTGCTTGAATAGATTCTTGTCGCCAAGTTTTGAATGCTGAACCAGCTAGTCCATGAAACTAATAAGCGTGATCAACTTTGAATGACTATACAGATTATTTTGCTAGGTAACTCACGAAAACGATGTCAATAATCGGTTCTTGATGCCATCGCACATCAGGATCGAGTTGCTGAACATTGTACATGATTGGACTGAATAGAATAACCTGGAATAGAAAAGATTCTTATTATGTAATTGAAATAAGCTGAGTATTTGCGTATTGTCAAAGCTGAACATGAGAAAGTAATATCTTTTTCGAACGGTAGGTTACACCAACTACGTCTCGGTCATCTTTAATTACAATTCTCTTAAACTAGATACGATGTGTTGTTAGGAACGACTAAACTTAAGCAGCACAGATAGTTTACGACAGAGTATCCGAACCAGAGAATAGCTAATTAGAAGCATTACCTGCCAGTTCATCTAAAGCTACATAAGACAACACAAATTGATTGAACTACTCTCGAAAGAATATGTTCATTGCTATTTACCTTATCGCCATATACTTGTTCGCTGAGCCAGAATGGTGCTGATCCATGTTTCTCTTCTCCTTGAATGTTTTCATCATTATCACCCGATTGGCTTGTATGCTCAACATTCGGTGAGTGACTAGTGTCAATATCAGGTGCAACAATTTTCTTTTCATCATCAACATCATCTCCCGTTTTAGTTTGAATTTCGTCGAGTACGTCTCCTTCATCGGAAACTGGTCTTGTGTACCATACTCGACGCATAAATTTATCAATCACACTGGGCGTTTTTGCAGCCGGTTGATGTTCAAGAGCTATTTCTTTTTTCTCTTCAGTTTTCTCTTCGGCTTCGATGAGTTCGATACTACTGATTTCAGTTGGTAAATGTAATGGCTGAACATTATTGTTCAGAGAGATTTTCGTTTCACTAGTCGACGTACTAGAACGAAGTTCGCAATTTGACAGACAACAAAAGTCAATCCACATACTTTTCATGTATCGGCCGATCGAGATTCGCGAGAATCGTTGATCCAAGCAAGCAATAGACGATATTATTGTCATCCAATGCCATTTCATGAAGAATTCTTATCCAGCCTAGAAACAAAACTTAAGTTGATCGAGCCTGACAAAATCGCTAAGTATGCAAACCAACGGCATAAAACGCATGATGTGTTCGTTGATCTCGGCTGAGTAAAAGAAGAATTTTGCCAATGAATCTCACAAATGGAACATTTTCTTTGCGTTTTTCGTATAAATACTTCAATATTTGTAGGCCATTATGTTGAATAACTTCAAGTGGATAACGATCAGCATAACCACGAAGAGCGTAGAGAAACGTAGAATAGATTTCTAAATTCGATCGATAACGTTTGATCGCTTTCGATGACATATCCGCATGTTCAGGTTCAAAGTGTTGACCAAGATCAAAGATTGTCTGAGAATCAATTTCATCCAAATAAGATTTCAACTAAAACAAACATGAAATATTTGATTACAAAGAAAAACTTTCTCGTAAAAAATCGACTAGACCACACTCATTACATATTCATATATACGTACACTTATGTAATTCAAATCACCTTGAATACACAATAGGAAAAAAAAAGAAAAGATAAAATGCTCCTTTTCTATCATCAATGCATAAACTCATCTCGAACATTGATCGAGTTACACTTGGCAAGGATATTTTTCTCATCTTTGAATTACTCTCGTATGCGCTCGGTTCTTACCAATGTTTGATAGTGATGACTCAAGACATCCAATGGACGTTTACTGTCATCGATTAGCTTGTCGAGAAATCCTCTCATTGTATGTAAAAGCACATCGTCATCATTCAAATTATCCACACTGTCCGTCGCAAGAACTTTTTGGTTTGCAATCGTAAAGATATACGGCGGACCGGAAGGAAAGAAATTGGAATTCGCTTCACGTGTTCGTGCTAGCTGAATGGCAGAATGTAAATCCAATTGTTGACCAATAATCGAATAATAAGCCGATGGAAGATGTTTTAATTTGGCAAGATGACTGAGACCACGCTCACGGATACGAGTGTTAGTCGAATGGCTTTGCTTGACATATTGTAAAGCTTGATGATATCGAAAGCTGATTGATTCATCGGCGGATTCAATTGGAATATAGGTATTATCCTTGTTTTTTAATAAATCATCACTTAAATGAAGTTTGGCCTCGATTAACTGAATTGGAAGATTGGAAGTATCGTCGTCAACGGAAGAATTCGCTTGATTTCGATGAATTAAACGATTAAGACCTAACGTAGCTGCTGCAGCACTTGTGATTAGCACTATAAAGGTTCGATGTCGGCGTGTCATTAAATTGTAGATATAGTACACGGGAAAAGTACGATTAATAGGTATGTTTATGATGTTTTTCGCTGTGCCATATCAAAAGGACATTAGATGGTTCCAGATGAATTAATCAGCGAGTACACCAGTAGCAGTCGCAGTTGATTTGATTGTTTGGTATATGGTGCGAAATATCACCAAAGGAATGACAATTCAATAGATGGCGTTTCATTTTGAGCTTTTGCTTATTCAGTCCTACACTCTCGATAACGTAGATTTTCTAACCGCCAAAACTTAAGCATTTTTCAAATTTTCATCTTTTTTTTACTTCGATATGCAGTATGATCAAGACCGTTCTAGAGACAAAAAGTTTGAGAGCTCAAAGTTTAAAACACAAGAATCACAGAAAAAATTCTCGAGAAAACACTCAAGCGAACATTCGAAATACCGACGATTATCTTCTGGTAAAGAAAGAAAAGTCTCCAAACCGGAATTTGACGATGCTCGACTATTCTGCGATCACTGTAATCAATACTACGATAATATTTGTCCATATCATAAACAAACTTATATTCCTGATCGGAAAGTTCGTTGCAAGCATTTCTCTACCTTGTCCAACATCGATTCTTTCAGATATCAAAATCCTCACTTACACAATTACATTATAGATCGGATTTGACTTGTCCAGATGGAATTGTCATCAAAGCGTCTACTATATCAAATGCAGGCAAAGGGGTATTCACTAACACACGATTAGAAAAGAATACATTCTTCGGGCCTTACATCGGTTTACGACATTCGAATTTTAAAAATGCACAAGAATCAGGTTATGCATGGAGCATAGCGGATAAATACGGAAAAGTGAGGTTCTGTCGACAACTGAGAGTCATGCTTGATATTCCCTACGGTATTAGATGATCTATATCATTGACGGAAAAGATCCCAATACTAGTAATTGGCTGCGATATGTAAGTGAGAACCTGAAAAAAGATGATTATTGTTTTGACGCTTGTTTAGATCAATTGTATGTGTTAAAATATAGAGCAGAGTTGTTTTATTCATGTCAATTCGTTGTTAAAAGGTCCGAATACGATTGAACAACAGAATTTACAACCTATTCAATATGATCGAAATATGTTTTATAAAACAACGAGAACAATTCGACCGGGAGAGGAATTATTTGTGTATTATGGAGATGAATACGCTCGATTTCTGGGCATTGAACCATTCAATGCAGATTCTATGGAAAAGAGTATCGTTAGGGTCACAAACTGTTGACAAGTTTCTATTCTCTGTTTTTGCATAGTGGAACACGGCAATAACGAAGAAGAACATGAATAATCAAGTTAACTATCCTTTGTAAAGAACGTTAGAAAATTCGCTCGATCGTATTGCTAAATAATTTGAATCCACCTGTCCAATTTCGAATTCGACAATCAAGCTGTTAATTCATTCTGAGAATTGTATTATATAGTCATCTAGCCTGAACAAAGAAATCCTGAATAACAGACGAAATGTCAGATGTTGTATACAGATCAGTAGTATAGGCACTTCATTCTAATGTCATTGGATAGCATATCATATGTGCTATAAATAGACAGAACGGATAAAACAAGCTAAAACATATACATAACGATCAATATATAATCGGAAAGGCGTAAATCTGTGTGTTAAGCTGTACAACACGAAAAGTAAAAGCACTTTGTGACTGTTGTGTTTACTCTTTGTACCTTGTTGATAAGTACACTGTGTTTTTTCTCTTCGTCAAATACTCAGGTATGTCCAACGTAACCATTCATTACAGTGTCCTATCGGTTCTATTACAATGGATAGATTTCATCAAAGAATTCTCAACGAATCCGGTGGCCCAACAATGTCGACACTCTACTATACATTAAATAACACAGTTTTCACAAATTTCGCATTTTATTCAACAGCATCTATCGTTAAATTGATGAGTATGGCAGCATTGACTACTATGAAACGATTTTCTACAGACGTAAATATCGATGAGTCATAACTTCCACGATCTTTGTTTTTCATGTCCTCGACTAGGCATTTGCTAATCCTGAAGATTTGAAATTAGCTCGACATCAGTCAGCTGTGGTGACATTAGACGATCCCGATGTTGAACGACTTCGTCGCAATCACTTGAATGATATCGAAAACATCGTACCATTTGTATTGGTGGGCTTCTTCTATGTCGCTACAAATCCTCATCACGATGTGGCTTATTGGCATTTTCGTATTTTTCTCTTTTCACGTCTAGCACATACTGTTTGTTATCAAGTATGTATGCTTTTCTTTTGCTTTGATCAATCATTGCCTTGCGTATTTAGATGCCACTACCACAACCTGGTCGATTTCTTGCTTGTGCCGTTGGTTATTTAACTACACTTTCAATGGCTTTACAAGTCTTGGTATCTACTGTCATGTAATATGATGAATAGCCATTTTTTGTGTACAAGTGAACCAACCAATTTCTTATAAGATTGCATTTTACATATCAGAATAAAATTTATTTATTGGAGTTTGACAATTAGCTCATTCTCTACCCACATTTCTTGCAGAGTCACCTGTTAGCAGTGATTTGATAATAGAAATAGAGTTTTTTTTAATTATGCATTCAATGTATTTGCTGTGTAAACACGTCCAGAAAAATAAAGACATTTTCTTTCACGGAAAGATTTTGATAGTTCATACTACTACTTACCTATGCGTCTAATTACAACTCAAAAGCTGTTGTGTATAGTGTCTTGTAAGCAAGACTGAAGAGTAAAAAGATATGTCCAACGTCCATGATCCATGTTCAACAACTACTGTCTAGATAAATCTACATTCTTTATATGCTTACTATTCAATTTCTTATTCTTCTAACACTCGCAGGTTTGCAGCTATTGAATCGGAAATCTATTATAAAACGAAAGGAAGAGAGCTTTCTATCAGCTGCGTATATTCGCCGTAGCACTCGTCGTTTCGTAAGTAGTTCATTGGAATTCTTTCTATATTGCTTCAAATATTTTCTTAATGTCAAAACGACTCCAATTATTCCGTGTCATGCATTTCTACTGTTCTCAAAACTTCTCGCACGATAATAAGGAGCATTCCACCATTATATACTTGGTTTCAGACACTATTCAAACGAATTGACATAGCACCAGTACTTGTGTTGTTATTCTTCTGTTACAAAGTACAATGACATGAAATATAATGGAGACGGACTTTGAGTACTCTTCTCGATCGTTCTATGCTCTCCAGTAGATGAGTGAGCAACACCAGTATATGCATTTTTTGCTGAGAAATGCATGGCGTTATTCAAACATCCGTGCTGAAACTCGTTTCTTATTAATTTTGTTTTTTTCTTACGGAGATTCATATGGAGCATTTTTGTCCTGCGCAACATCGAAGGAAACGATAGGAAATTAGCGTAGTTTTCTTCTTGAGATATTCGAAAGTGAGTACATCAATAATCCATTAAGAATACTCCGCTAACGTCGAGTTTTACTTTAGCAGACGTTAAATAACAAGAATAAGTCTTCATTCGAACACATAATATGAACTTTATCTGTCTGACTGTAAGTGTTTCTAGGACATTTTTCGTTGATATGAGTCCATTATTTTTCGTCTACTGGAGTCATCTATTTAATTTTTCTTTTCAAACAAGTTTTTGTCTTTGGAGATCTCCTTATCCATTCACTTATCATGCTTGAGTGTCATGTTTTCTCGTACTCAACGAAAAAGTATTCTTGTGATTATATCTCAGTCCAATGTCTACGATCGTATATCTTGCTGATAGTTTTCTCACGAATCCTTCGTATCGAGCGCCATTATCCTTATTGAAAGGCTTAAGACAAGGTATTGTTTATGGGGCGAAAGTTCGCTTTGCTCATTCGCTCGTTCAAGCATTTCTCTTTCGACATGAACCATGGTCGAAACGAATGCGTTTCGTCCTTCGTATGACTTATATTCATGCGAAAAATCTCGGTCTATTCGTGTTTTTCTATAAAACATTGCGAACCATACTTTCAACCGTCTTTCACCTATCAAAACCCTGGTGCGCTTTCCTTTCGGCATTCGTCGTCGGCTATTTCGTTTTTCATGAACGTAATAGTATCAATGAACAGATTATATTTTATCTGTTGGCACGGATTGTCGTTGGTTTAGCGCGTTATGCACAAAAACAAACATGGTTGCCACATTCTAAACGACCTGTTTTTCCGTGGTTTGCAGCATTTGTTTGGGGTACGGTGCTCTGGTTATTCGAATGTCATCGCGAGACATTACAGCCGTCATTAACACGGTCGATGGTATACTTGTACGAAAATTCTAACCGGTGGTCATCATTACACAATTATTTTCTTCGTGATGTATCTTCATAGATATCTTTCGGTTTATTTTATGTTGTATCTTGATAACGGAGAGGAAATGAATATTCCAAAAGTAAATTTTTCCGCGACGGTATGAGATAAATAAATAGAAACATCAAGTTACTTGTGTAACATGTTCGATAGTGACCAAACTGTCTGAGATCATTTTTGACAATAAAAGCCCGTATTAGACATGCAGTTTATTTATAACTTTTCAAATTCAGTCCGTACCGCTATACCATCAATGCTGATAAATTAAGAAGCTTAGCTTAACTTGAACTAAAAACAAAGACAGACATTCTTCGCACACCTAGATTAGCATCTATTTTTTGAATAACTACGTATGAATCAGACGGATTGTCTCACAAAACATTTCTTCTTGTATCTTTTATGCGTATTCTTCCAATCATTCAATCCTTTACAGTATGATGTTTCGGAAATTGTTATATTTAGTTTTGTATAGGAAAAGGCTTAACACGCAACATCGCCATGATCAATATATAATCAAATTAAAAGTCTTTCTTCGTCTATATCTTTCTTGATAGTGAGCGTCATGGATTTGTTCAAGAAAATTAGCATTTTGAGAGACGAAATTTCTTTTTCTTGCTGAGCCTTTTCTGCTAAATATAATCATATGACATTTGTTCGAATCTAACAATGTATATTATTTTTATCCAAAGCTTACCGCGATCTAATACTAAGTTGATTTCTAATAAAAACTAATCCTCTCTTAGAAATCCATACTCGTTTTTCTTATTTTCCAATTGAAAATCAATCTCTTCGCTTTTTATGGCATAACCAATTAGCTAACGACATGATTTTAGTAAGGTGAGATTTGTTTGCTTACAGTAATTAATATTTGATTAATACTGCTCCTCTCTCGACCTTTTGTATTTCTTGGTATGTATACAAACAAAACATGCATTTGAGACATCATTATCGTGCTAACATAAGAGAAATCGTGAACGCGAAATTATTTATTTTCTTTCGATGGAAAATAGATCGCGAGTAATGAACTTTTTCTGTTTTCTTGAACAGAAACAATATTTACTTGTTTTTGCCAAACAATCGCGGATATTTCGTTGGTAATTGATTGTTAGTGGTATTTGTCGTTTGTCTTCAGTTCTCAGTCTAGTTTATTGCTTCTCAACAACTTAATCTTCAACAAGAGCCTTCCATTTATGAGAATAATGCAACCATAAGGAAGAGAATGATCTAGTATAACATACTTTCAAGTGATACTCTCTATGTCAGCAGGTTAATCAACGGCAAAATCACTGCTTGTCACTACCTCGAGGTGGGTCATTGAACTTCCGTTTATCTCATCATCATCATCATTAGTTTCAGTCGTGTAATGACGTTCGACGAATAGGTACAAAGGCAAAATGTAATAAGTTCGCGAGAAATAAGCTCATCGTCAGCTCTTTTGTTTATACAGAAGATATCGGCATGTTAACAATTCCCAAAGATTTCCACCGAGAAAAAGGAAATAGTTAATCGCTAATTCTATCAGCCATCTGAACTTCATCCATACTCTATCATTTATTTACTATGTGAAATCTTATTCTCTAATCACATGAGAGCAACAGATATAAATATCTTTGCTGAATAAATTTTTTTTTACACTTATTGACATGACTTGTGAAGTCATATTTTTTGCTTCGTATTTCTCATTAAGTTGATCCCGATTAACACCGAGATATATCATCAACTGCTGTGAAAGTAGGAGGCATGGAGTTATTTCTTAATGGATGTTCCGCTACTCTCTCTCTCTCTCTTCTTATATATATATACCAATAGTTAGAATCCGCTAATCGTATCGTTTTGAGCAAAGAAAAGAAATCATTTGGCGTCAGAAAAGAATTAGGTACTCTTCAGCTGTTTTCCCCTCTTAATGATGATGTCGATCCACTTGTAAACTATGATGTGTTTATAGACAATTACTTCGCGCGAGTGAACGAAGAACTTTGACATTGTCTATCAAGGACAATCGACCAGAGCCGATTGCTTTTGTTTTATCTGCTTGTTGACAAATATTCTATAGTGAATACACAACTAATTGTCTTTGTCGTATGCAAAAGTATTTGCTCACTCTGAAACGATCAATAGATAGTAAAAAGCTTCTTTATATACACGGAAATGCGTGCATTTATTCATTTTCTGAAAGAGAGAACAGTGATGAGCGTGTGTCACCCAACTATCTATCCATCCATTCATTCGCCTAGTTGAAACTGATCTATGAAATTAATTAATCTATATCGCATGGCAGCTTTCCTTGTTCTTTTCTTTATTATTCGTAGCTTTTTTTTACTTCGAATGAAAGTTAAAAATTCTAACTAGATTGTTTGCTCAGTCAAGCAATGACACATAAGATTTTCTACGAGGTATTGAAAGAATGAAATGGAATAGTTCTTCATCAGCGAAGTCGTTTTATGAGGAAAGAACGAAGGAAACTCACTGCGCTCTTGGACTTCTCTTCTTCTCCTTTTTTTTTATTTTTCTTCCTTGCTTTTTAGTCTTTTAACTAATCCGCTTGGAATTCATCTTCAGATTGATTAGTAGTTTTAATAAGATTTTATTGATATTCAATCTTTTTCGTTAAATCCATCATTACAGATACCGCAGATGATAGATAAAAAAAATCACGAGTAAGCCTAGAGTATCTGTCAAGATATTTTATTTGAGACATTGAAAAAACCAATAAAATCATCGTTCTATATCTTTGTCTACGAATCTTCCATTAGGATTGATTACTTAGAGAAATCAAATGACAGAAGACTAGTTTGTTTTGCATTATCGATTTCTTTCGTTGTGAGATGAAGAAATGACTCTCATGTTTTTTTATGATAATATACGTCCTATTAATTAATATAAAGTATAGAATATAGACAGAAAGCTAGATTATGTTTTGATTTCACATAGAAAGAGCCTTGTTTTCTTCCGAAGATAAATGCCGTCGATCGATGCCCAGATACTATTCGTAGAGGACAAACGAAAAGAAGTGGTGGCATCAGCAGTGGCAGCAGAAAACAATCATGATGATGATGATCGTCATCATCAACACCGTTTTGGCAACCATTCGATGTGATATGCAATCGATCTTGTTATGACTACGGGGTAAAGATATACACATGTAAGGAAAATATTGCCATGCGCAACTCGATTGTAGAAAATCCTGTGCCCGATCGAAGCGTGTTCTTATTCAAACTAAAAGACAAGTCACAAAGTTGACCTTGAGTATATGCTATCGATACCACATGTGCCACATGAAAAGAGAGATAGAAAGCAAGAGCATTTAATAGCAAATGTTGATAGACCATTACTAGTCTCGATTATCTTTCGTATTATGACCCAGCTGAAACTGACAGGATAGATGAAATCGAAGCATCATATTAGAAAGATTGTTGACTCAGCGCGTTTTTCTTTGCTGTCACATATACACATTATTAAAGATGATAGTCATTTTCGCGATATTTACATTTAATCTAGCCGAACGGAAATACGATTATATTAAATAGATTGACAATAACAGAGGAAGAACGTCGCCCAAATTGACCTATACTTTGGAAGTCTAACAGCATCTTAGTTCAAAGTTGATTAGGTAGTTCGTTTATTCTGTTCGACATTTTCAATTCTTGGACAAATATCGTTCCTTTTGCCAACCTCTTCCGTCTTTCTTTCTCATACTCTCGTATATTCGAGCGAAAATGAGCAAAACCAGGAGACGGCAAACAATGTCCTGATAATGTTGCCTGATTATTATATTATCCAACACAACAATTGAATTTCGTTTCTCTTCTATTATTGCTTTAGATTCGATAAGTTACTTCTATTCTCCAGTTCAGTAAGACTTATTTTAGGGAGAATAATATAATTTCGAATATATATGTATGTAAGTGATGACAAAATAGTCAGTATGCGTACTCAGTTAGGAAGAAAAGAATGCCCGGAGACAAAGAGCATACATAAAAACAAAATAGAAATAGAAGTGGCAACCAGCAAACGACACTTGATTATCTATTGGAATGAAACTAGGCGTGTTCAATCATCTTTTTCTTATTCTTCTTTTCTTATTTTGTAGATCATTGGAATATCGAAACGCTTCCCTGATTCCTCTCTTGTCGTCTCCTAGATGAAGTCGATCGGCAAACACTATACAACGCATTTGTATGTACTTTTCCTTCTCTTCCCTATCTTCCTCTTCTGCTTGTTTTCTCTCCTTCTTTACTGTGCACTCGCTTAGAGAATAGAAAACAGCCCTTTCTGAAAAGAACATGCAGACTCAATTATGATCCATTTTAAAAAAAACTAAGCGCAAGCTATAAAAAGATTCGAGCATTTCTTGTTGCGTTCCTCATACGTGAATTCAGGTGTTAATTAAATTTTTTCATTGATTTGTGAGTGAACATGGTCTCATAGAATGCGAAGAAAAGAATCGAGACTAATGACTGCCGCTATCTAGTCAACACACGCACTTGAGGCAATTTCTTACATGTGTTATTGTGGCTATTGCATCGGTAGCTCATTGCATACTGTGATCAATGACACTATGGCATTCGAATTTGCCTACTCGAATGTTGTTATTGTTGATGTTGTTGTTATTATTATTACCATTATCGAGCTTCATCTATGACTATATCAGCAGTATTGACCTTTTCTCATTTGCGAGAGCATTCATCATTAGCTTTCCCGTTTTCCCTTGTGTTTGTATTTCATTGCAATTTGTTCTCTAGATCGTTGAGCTACTTTGAAAATGATTCAACTTAAGAACGAATAATATGACGTATGACGTTCAATATTTGATGGTCTTGTTTATTTATTTTTCTCGTTGCCATTGCAATCATCATTATCGATTCAATTTGTGTCAAAAGTCCAATGCAATTTTCCACCAAGTTAGTCATTCATGACCTAATCCTTAGTTCAACTAGTTCAACAATCAACACGATTATTCAATCATATCAATTGAATTCGACAAAGGAAAACACCTCTCTACACAATACGCCAAAAGAACACGTTCAACTAAATAGTTTACCATTGGGTATTTTTCTCAGTTTATTTTGTTTTATTACTGTGTTTGGCAATGGTCTTGTCATATATGCTATTGTTCAAGAGCGTTATCTTAAATCGGGTATGTCAATTAAAATCCAAATGTGTGTTATACTTATGACTTCTATCCGAATCGCTTAGGAGAAAAAAGAAAAACATCGAAGCATTTGTTTCACTTCATTTAATTAATACAAAATAGAAAACAGTTCTTCCATACGTTACTAAACTACAAAAAGGACAATTCTGATGCCACTAATCTCTTTTTTCCTCGATCGAGATATTTTTTGTTCTCAGTAACATCGGCATAGTTTATAAGCATCCCTATATGACACTCGATAGTATCGAGCCGCTAATTATGTACTCGTCGTCTATAGGGAGCATTCTTTCCATTTTTTCAGGTAAAATTCCTATGTGAAATAGATTATGGAGTTTCTCGAACACACAACCAGTTGTTAGAAATCCTAGATGAGCACATACGAGATTTCGTGTATAATTACAATTTCTACAGCTAGGATGACATTGTAATGAGTTTATTTAAATATTAAGTGTGGTCTCAATATATGATTTATCATTTTTTTAGCAACATATTATTATATGGCATCATTAGCTTGTGCTGATCTAATTGTCGGGTTAATTGTTATACCATTTGCTATTGTGCAAGTTATATTCGATGATTACTGGCCATTTGGTAATACCTTGTGTGATCTTTGGCATTCGATTGATGTGTGTGCGAGTACGGCGTCCATACTAGATCTTTGTGTGATCGCGTTGGATCGCTATTCAGCTATAACAAATCCGATCTCCTATCATCAAACATTTTTTGTTAAGCGATGGCCATATTTACTTGCCGCTGTTTGGTTATGTTCAGGTAAGAAAGGTTGAATTGACGAGGATGAACATTGCTCAGAACATCATCAAACATCTTTCCTAATTCATCGACTATTTTTAGGTTTGATCTCATTTCCTGCCATCGCTTACTGGCGTCTTAACTCACGTCAATACAATGAAAATCTCTGTCAATTTCCTGATGATGTATATTACGTTCTCTTTTCATCGTTAATTTCGTTTTATATTCCTTTATTTGTCATGATCTTTGTCTATATAAGAATCTATCGTGCTGCAGTTAAACAATTACAGGCATTCAAAACCGGTGTTAAACTTGCATCACCAACAACGAAAAGAAATAGGAAAGGTTTGAAAGACGATGAAACACCAAGTGCACCTCCACCTGATGTCTGTTTACGTATTCATCGCGGTAAATATCATGGTATACCATCGACAGCACGTGAATCTTCATCAACAGCCACTCCTGCTGAACCTGGTCGTTTATCGAATTCCGATGAACGCTCGACAACCTTGTCCACGAACAAATCTTCCATACCAATAAAGAAATCGACTAGTGGTGCGTATCTAAGCGATCATGGAAATTCGTCACTATCGCGTTTCTCCATGCCAGTATTGAACGCTCCAGCAACATCGACAACCACTGATAATCACCAATTATCGATTGTTAATTTGAATACGAAAAGAATGTCCACGCAAGATATTCTATCGCCCTATGAATCAGCCCGAACATCGAAAGTGAACACGAACACAGGCGGCGCGACATCGATCGGAAAGCGTTTAACAAAATTCTCCAAAGAACAAAAAGCTACAATTACGCTAGCTTATGTCATGGGTATCTTTGTTCTCTGTTGGTTACCATTTTTCGTCTATAATCCACTGACAGCAATCGTGAAAAAGATCATTAAGGAAAACAAACCGTTAACACCAATAGAAAAGATTCTGACTGGAAGCGACCTTGTCTTTCAAATGTTCACCTGGTTCGGATATATCAATTCAAGGTATTTAATTGATCAACGAGAGAAATAGATAGAGAGAGAGAGAGACCGACAAGAAAGAAAGAAAGAGAAAAGAAACAAGAATACTATTACAGTAAAGGATTCAACATTTGTTTTTCCTTTTTTCTTCTTCTTTTAGTGTCAATCCAATTATCTATGCTTATTCCTCACGTGAATTTCGTCGAGCTTTTATTAAATATTTATGTCGATGTTTTCCGATTCGAGTACGAAATTTAATGATGTCGTATCATAATCTACATTTATTACGTTATCGTCATGCACCTGAATCGAACGTTTCGAAAGAAAACAATGAATCGGGCTCCGATCATAACCATCACCTCGCTAATCAAATCAACCCAGGTAAACAACATCTGATTTCATCCTCATCATCGTCAACAATGATCTTATCGAATATACACAACAAAACTCGACATTCGCTTTCATCGAAACAAACGAAAAGCCTCCAGATTCATCAGAAGAAAAAGCATTCACGTCTTTGGTTACTGACGAATTGTTGTCGAATAAAAACAATTCAACAACAAGATAGCAACGATAATCGTTCATCACATACGGCTTCCTTGAAAAGTACAGTCGCAGCAACTGCAACAACGAACAATACACTTGTTGATTATTGTACCTATCACGATGTTGCCATATCTCGGGTAACATGTGTCTGATAAAAAATATTTTCTTCTCATTTGTTTGTTTGTTTGTTTGTTGTTTTCATCTGGCTTTGATTGAATGTACTGTAGCAAGATTTTCTTTTACATAAAGCCCGAGTGCCACTTGTTTCTTCTATACATGTGTACACTTTCCTCTCTCCACCCCGTTTCTTTGTCATGCCTGTGTACGATATACAATGATCTATGAAATGAAGACAAGTTATTTCTATATACATATGTAGATTAAAGATTCGTATTTGTTGCTAGAAGAGAAAAACACATAAAAGATTTACTGAGAATGAATATAAAATGGCGAAGAAGTAAGGTCTATTGTGTTATATCGTTCTCATCATGCTGATTTTCATCTGAATAAAAGCAATGGTAGATGAGTTGTCCTGTTCTTTGTTTTTTTCTTCAATGCATATTTTCAAGGAAATGCGTCATGCCAGATTCTGCTCGCTTCTTTGTGCACGTTTCTGAATATAAAGAAAGAATTATGGGCGATCAATAAAGACAAGGAGATTGTTTTTACTTGAAAAATGAGTTCTAATTCAGATAGTCGACACTGATTTTGAATCAGTGATTTTGTGCACGAACGAGATTTTGTTTGATTGATTTCAACACTTGATTTCGTTCTTTTACCAAGAATAGCATCGAGTTCACTCCGATGCATAATAATTGTTTCGGGTTTTTGTTGTTGTTGTTGTTGTTCGTCAATCGATTTTTGCGAACATTTATCTAATCGCACATAAGAAATGGTCTGATTAACGGTTGTAGTTTCAGTGCTCGATAAATTCGATGTGGATCCTATCAATCGACGACCAGATCGTCGACCGTTAGAACCAGGCTCGATGTCAAGATGTTTCTTTGCTCGTGTAAACAATGGATTTTCCCGTAACTAGAACAGCTGCAGTCAGCCAAAAATCTCTTCGATGATTTCATATTACTTACTTCGGAGAGTATGCGTGTGTCGGACAAATTACTTGATATTGTCGATGTACCCGTGCTGCAACGCATCTCGGAATTAGTTCCTTCACGCGGCAATGTCATCGAAGATATTTGTGCAGGTTGAGATGAGCGTTTCATTGGTGGTTTTATCGATCGGAAACCACCAATAGGTAATCTAATTAGAACACATGATAAATCTGTCTATTAATCAAATGTAGATGCGTCAAGGAAATTGTCTGAGATACGGATAATACAATTTAGAAAATGAACGACAGTCGAATATAAAGCAATGATTGTTCTCGCTGTGTTACGAAAATCGTAAGCACCATCGTATCTTGTAGTCACGAAGGATGCTTCGAATTATTTAGAAGATTTTTCCAATATTAACATGCGTGATATTAGAAATAGAAGATCAGTCTGAGTTTAGAGGATTTTCTCAATCTTATTATAATCATCATTCTTAATTGAACACGAGAAATACGCTCGATCAACATAGGAGTATTTTCCGGCAACATATAGACGTAAAACATCTAGTAACATGAAAATATAATCAGATTTCACTTACGGTGGTGGCGGTGGAGGTACAGACAATGAACCCGTAGGTTCTTTCTTAACAATCGGTAGTTCATTTGGTTCGTCGTAGACAGTTGATTGAAAATGATTCGTATTATTAGTTTCCGACATATGTTCTGGTGGTGGATCGTAGCTGAGATGATCGTCACTGTGCGAACATGCTTGTAGTTGCTTAGGAAAACGTGTTGATAAATGTTCATTTAGCTGGTTAATGACACACACGTTCATTTGTTTGCTTGACAAAGTCATGTCTGTTAATTTTTCATTTGTTGACGATGACGATGTGGAAGAACGTAACCCTATCTTTGTATGCATTGGGTGTATGATCATGGAATGTATGTCAATGGTATTTGTTGGCACACTTGTGAGAGACGCTCGTTTTTTGTAGTCATTGTAGATTTTTGACGATGACGATTGTTGTTCGTATTCGTTTTCTTGCACAATTGATGTTGCTGGTGATGAGGAAGATAAGCATTCCTGAACTTGCTCATCGGTGAGCAACGGTTTGGGACAAAGATTAGTCATTTCAGTTTCGTTGTCATTAATTTGTGTCATAGAACTATAAGATGAACGTGACAAGGATTGAGAAACTTTGCGTAATTTATTATTTTTTGACACGTGAAAGTAATGTGGTTTTGAAGGCGGTTGAGAGGCCACGTAAGATTTTTCTAAAATGAAAATGATGCTCTCACAATGATCTCTTGGAGATCTCGGTTATATTACCTGGTAGCAGATTCTCTGGCGCATCTTTAAGAATAAGCTTATGGTCTGATGATAGACTTTCAGCAATTGTTCGACATCGAATGGTGAACTTCTTTTCATCGGCGGGTAGCTTTGATAATGGTGGCGGCGTTGGTATCCGTTCTTCTGTGATCGTCATTTCTATTGATGATATTTGTGGTATGATGAAAGATGAGGAAACGCCCAATTCTGAATGTGTTACTGATTTGTCATCAATATCGCATTCAACAGTCGACGTTGAGTCGTCATAATCGGCTGCTGGTTCTTCTTCTTCTTCGGTGACACTTTTTTCACTTTCCATTGACTCAATAACATTTTCATCATAGTCTGGCGTCGGTTCTTTCATACGTAAATCTTCATCTGGAATATGTGTGGTTCTAACTCTCGGAATTAAATGTTGGTAAGCATTCGATTCGGGTTTTTCATTCCATGAAGTACTAATATTGAATGAACGTGAGCGAGATATGTGTGAACGACTTGATGGCTGTTTTCGATCTCCGGATACAAAATTTCGATCCAGAGAGTTCATCAATTCAGCACTCATAGCTGCTTGCATACGATGTGCTAGTAGATCGTTATATTTAAGAGGATGATGATAATTGATTTCGTAGGGTTTTGGTTGATTTGAATCGAAAGAATAGATGTTTTCGGCGATCGGTTTAAGAGAATAACGACGTGGAATATTTTTTTTTGAACGGCTCGATTGAGAAGGAGGAAGAAGTACTTTTTTCTCTCGAACAGTTGACTCTTTTCGTTGTAGCAAGGTTTTCGTACCTGACGGACCAACAATATCACTATAACGCTTGGGAATTCGTCGACGAATATGATTCGGTGGTAAACGAGCTTGTTGACGATAAACATTTCGAGCAGGCTTGTGCAGTGACGAATCACCATCATCACCATCATCACTTCTAAAACATGTTACACAACAATAACAAGTAAGTATATGTCTGTTAGAAAAAAGTTCCTTGTATACCGAAGTCGTCGATGAAGAAATAGAGAACTTACTGCTTGTCGAAAATACTTGATCCTTCTTTACAGAAACAAAAATCATAACTAGTTCGATGTTTTTGCTGTTGAAAACACGAATTCAATGAATCAATACTTATACAACGCGAGAGCCACCACATATTAATAATAATGATAGTAATAAACGAAATGGATGAAGTTTTGTTCGCTTGCCTATTGTCACTTAATCGATAATATTCAAATACAACAATTACAATAAATGATGTTGAATCAAGCCGAATAAACATGTTCAAAGACGAGACATATAATAATGTTAACGCGTCTATCTCACCTTCGTTTTTCTTTTTCCTTTCCTTGACACACTAGTAGATTGTCGGTAATTTGTATGTGTACAATATTATTAGAAAAATAACAACAAGGCGTTAGGAAATTGTGTGACAAATAATCGATTGTTCGAATCTGTCTTATTGAACGTGTTTGAATGCTGCTTCGTTCGATTGTATCAATTAAATCTTAATCCTTCTCGTTTCGTTTTCTTTTATCGATCTGTAATCTCACTTTGGACGTTCGTGTTTTATTTTTTCGAACTCAGTGTCGTTTGTTCATCGTACAAGCTTTACGTCAACAATAAACATCGTTTCGTTCGAAAAATATCAACATTCTACGAATGAAACGAGAAAATGACAAAACATACCAACGGTACGACGCTAAGGTCGAAATTTAACTATTTCAAGAATGTTAAAAAGGAAAATAACGACGTAAGGAAATGAATAAGAAAGAATTTATTGATAAACGAAGGTTTAGAATGACGATAATAATGTCTAAGCGTCGATAATACTCAATAAAGTTAAGAACAATATCTTTAGTAAAACCTTGATGGTTATATGGCACGGGTTTTATTATAGTGCGTTAAGATCATATTCCTATTAGAATTTATTGAAAGAAAACAGAAATTTACCAATTAGTTTTAATATCAAAATAGAAAAAGCTCCATGGTTGTTGAAAACAATCAGTAAGAACTGGAATAGTGCCGTTGAAAAGATGATTACTATATGAAGAAGAGTTGACTTTTGTCGAGCAAATATTTGACATTGACCAAAATTTTGCCAATGAAAGAAGATTTTCGCTGTCGACTAACGATTGTTCTTGACTCGATGATAATATTAAGAAATCTGATGAAGCTAGTTGAGTTCCGTTGATATCATCGACAATTGACATTTGCCATACACCGATCAGACTAGAATCGGAGATTTTCGGAAGTGATATATCATTAACGACAGGTTCATCTGATGAATAAAGTTCGACTCGATCGACAACCGTATCTGGATAGATAAATGTAAACATGAAATATGATTGTCTGGTATCGAGCAGAAGATCTTACTGTTAGGAGTATTGATAATTAGTGTTGTATCGTTGCTTCCAGTTCCTTCCCATTCGATCAATATTTTGATCGAGTTTGGTTCAATGAATGTTCTACTACGATCTGCGAACAGAAGTTCTTTGACATCAAATTTCGATCCAGTCTAGAACAACATGTTTTTCCAAAGACAATTCACTATTGAATATGTTAACCTACTTCGAATCGTTTCACGTCATTGGAAAGTGTAGCATGAGGCGAATTTAAGCTAATTAACAGCTCGATTTGTTCTTTCTGATCGCTTTTATATTGCAACGAATAACCTCGAAATACACTAGATTGAAATACTGCATGAACTTGTTCTAACTGTAAGTTTTCATTTTGAAAATATTTCACTAGTTTGGAACGTGCATACAAATCAAAGAGCTTCAAAGCAGCACTGAGCTTTTCAATTCCATCGATGGGATGATAGAGATTTTGTAGATAAGCCGCACCTAGAAATACTCGGGTATTATTTCGGATGAATGAGAGAAGCGGATTTACCATTCGATAGATTCTTCTTCGATATCGATTCGTCAAGCCAATCAATAATTGATTCGTCAATACTCGGATCAAATTTCCGTGCAAAGAAATACGGAAGTTCACGTTTACTCTGAAATCGAACAATGAAATACCGAATCACTTCTTGTGTAGCGTAATGTTTTGTCTTACAATGAAAGAATGTTTATCAGCCAGTCGATAAACAAGCGGCGAGCACCCACACCAGTCCACAACATTCGAATGTTGACATTTACAGCCACGCTTTCGATTCCAATTCACATATCGTAAATTATTTCGAACATATGTATCACAATAAAGACTATTACTTAATAGAGTATGAAAGAACATCTAAATAGATAGAAAGAAATGTAAATTTCTCGAAATTTTCATCTGATGGAAACGAACTTCACACGGGAGTAAGGAATAGTTAAATGCATGTCGAAGACCGTTGATCAATTCATCATCACCATATGTTATATAATGAAGAAAATCACGATTTAATATATACCAATCAGATCCACCATCGTAGATAATCTCTAAATTGACTTCAATCGATTGAATTCTAGTCCGATCAACAACTACACGTACTTTTAATCAACGGCCGATACTTTACTTTGTACATGTGGTTATTACACTGCAAAAATGTATGAAATGCTGCTTGAGCTTTGAAAAACCTGAAAAATCATGACAATCTAAGTATGCGATTAAAAACAATGAAGACATACCTGAACGGTTCTTGATTATGTGGACCGAGAAAGTTGTAAGGTCTATAGACGGTCAGGACATCCGTTATAATTTGAACAGATCTTGAAAGAAGTCGAATTGATACGAATAGATGATTCGAAAACTCAAATTTACTTCATGGGAAAATCGCTTTCACTCAAATTGATAAGAAACGAAAAATTCCATCTCAATTCTTCAAAGATTTCCTTGAACACGTCGAGATGCGCGTTTAATAGTGTTGACGAACCCCACGTCGTTGGATAACGTTTCTCGGTGACATGAATATTCGGAAATTTCAATGGAAGTTTTCGTAATTCATGCTGTAAATAATCATCACGCTATGGCAACAATGAATATTGATGATCTACAATCATGAAAATTCATAAACATACTTGATCGACATGAATAAAATAGTAGTGTTGAGAGAGGTAAATCGAACGTATCAAGCGATAAATTTGCCGAAGACTTTTCCGACCGCCGACGGTTAAGAAAAAGACAATTACAGTATCGGTATCATTTTCTGACCGAGGATGCTTTTTGAGATCGTTTCCGAACGGTGCAAAACCCGTTCGATAAAGTGTAGAAATGTCTTGTCCTATTGTGTCATAATTCAAAGTTTGGGCGGGACATTTTTTACCAGATTTGATCAAACGATAATGCCTGGGAAATTCAACTGAACAATAACAACGTGAAGTTTCGGTATTGTACGCTATAAAGATTCGACATTTTCTATGGTTTCCTTTACTCGAGATGTCGATCTTACCAGCATAGGGGAGACTGCGTTTTAAACAGTAATCAATGCATTGAATCTCTGTGTCCAGGATAGATAATTGTTCTGTATGAAGAGTTGAAATGTTACGAATTGCAATGCAACCAACGATATCGCCAAACTGACCCTCTGTAAATAAAGAAAACAGATCTTGTTCAAATGATGACAAGCTATCGAGTTGTTCACCGTGCTTGGGACAAAATCTCGGTAGTGATTCTGGATAAAAATGTGAATTTGTTTGAAGCTCACATGAGATATTTCGTAATTTCTCTTTGCAATATTCATCGGCAACTGACTGGAATAAATCATCAGTTTTACAAGTTACATTCGTTGATGTCGACTAAAGCAAAGTATTCATTTCAACAACGAAACAGTCCAACTTGTTTTTCTTACATTCGAGACAGATGATGATGAAGAAAACTCGACTTTATTGTTTGTGTAATATTCCACAAGCACATAAAGAAAGCTAGTGGTGATTATGAATACAACAAGTGGTAAGATAATCGTTCGTCGAAAACGTAATGGTCGCTGATAAAGACATTTGATCCAGTTAAACATGGAACATCTAAATAAAAAATGACTCTTTGCTTTATTCAGATCACGATTCTCTGTTGTAAGAAAAACTAATGCATACAAGCGAACGAAGAAAAAGAAAAACGACCGAACGAAAAAGAAATCAAATTTCGAACATACGCATCCGACTAAATTCCCTTTCTCTCGATAAAGAAACTTAATCAGTACTGACAAAATAATCATGGTATACATTTAAAAACATGTCGAAAATTTACGTTCTAACCAACTAATCATGCAAATGTATTTCCACTTACTGATTCACTTCGTCTTCTATAAGACGTTTCTGCGACTTCAAAAAACTTTTTTTCGTTTCATCTTTCTCTGTGGACGCTCGTTTTGTCATCGAAGGTTGTGCTTATTATATCTAATAATAGTAAAACAGGCGATTTATCGATGGACGAGAAGTAGATTCAGATGAAAACTAAATTCTCAATACTTTCTTCGTTTGTTAGTACAGTTGTTATACAAGCATACAACACGAATTCAAGCGTTAGAAGCGATGCAGTTGTCAAAATAATAACGAGATCTTGACGAAGTTTTCCAAAGGATGCTGTTGATCAAATAATTACCGATGAATTGAGTCTCATACTGAGCTAATACAAATGATCCTCTCAGTAATTAGTCGAGAAATCGAAATAGATATAATCATCGACTCAATTCACTGTTCTAGTCGTTGTTGAATGGACTCGAACTAGGAACCAAAGAATTCATACACCTCGACTGTTGACCATTAAACTAAATTGTTCTAATGAACAGCTAACAAACAAATAGTCAACTCGTAGTTTGTTTGACGCCTGATGAACTATTATTTTGTATGATATAATATGATTGTTGGCAGCAGGAATCATAGCTGTAATCAATAAATTTCTCTAATGATTTACTTTGCGACTGTATTGATTAGTCAGTAGTTTACATTGTTAGACAAGCTTTGATTTTACAATAGCAATGGTTATTTTCGAGTTAGCATGTACGAATAATATCCACGGCGATACTTGTTTTTCTATAACATTATGTTCGTTATTTATACTTTTTGCTAATCATTGATTTCTTTTTCTATGAAGGACACCATAGTATATGACTGATGTCGACCTTTTCTGTGTTTCTTCAAAATTTCGACTTGGTTTTACCCTTCCGAATGATTGCACATCGAACAAAATCGCTTTTATACTGTATTTCTCATTTTAATTAATAAATTTTACTGTGAAGTCTTCTTCGATCAAAAACAAGTCTGAAGTCTTTACATTGCTACGAACCGATGTTTACTTTTATATGGAAGATGTCGGTACTCGTCGAGAAGCTTTGTGCCAATGAGAATTAAGTTGCAGTTATCTCTATATCTCTAGTAGCGAGAATGCTAAAACGCCGAAATGTGTTAGAATAATGCATTCGCCGCCACTTGTTTCGACACCTGTGTTCTGCAATAAACTTCTCTTCACTTCAGAACAAACATTTACATCGGGAGATAGTTCTACAATCTTTTCTTCTTCTTCTTTTTATTTATATGCGTATTATCTTTTTCTTTTACATATTGCTTATTTCTTATTTCAGATCAAGTAGTCAATTCATTTTTTTATCTTGTATTAAGAGAAAAAAAGCTTTCTGCAATGGATGAAGAGTATGATGTGATTTTGTTAGGCACAGGTCTAAAGGTATAACTCAAAAACTTGTTTGATTTTTTGAAATCCATTCATTTTCTGTAGGAATGTGTTTTGGCCGGTTTACTTGGCGTTGCCGGCAAGAAGATTTTACATATGGATCGCAATAAATATTATGGTGGAGAATCAGCATCAATGACACCATTAGAAGATGTAAGGATAATCTGTTATTTGAAAAGAAGTCTATGTCCAATTGTGTAGCTTTATTCGAAATTCAATTTGCCAGCGCCACCATCAGATACAGGTCGCGGTCGAGATTGGAATGTAGATCTCATTCCAAAATTTCTCATGGCTAATGGTAAACTGATAATGAAGATTAGAATTTGTTGATTTTGTTTTTCTTCCCTCTCCAGGTCTTCTAGTAAAATTATTAATTCATACGGGTGTAACACGTTATCTGGAATTTAAATGTATCGAAGGTAGTTATGTATACAAGGGGCAAAAGATTCATAAAGTACCAGCTGATGAGCGCGAAGCACTTGCATCTTGTAAGTTCTTTTCTTTTCCATTTTAAACATGGACCATTGAAGGAACTTTTCACTCTATTTAGCACTGATGGGCTTGTTCGAGAAACGCCGTTTTCGTAATTTACTTGTCTGGATAAATGAGTATGATGAAAATGATCCAAAAACATACAAAGATGTGCCACCAAAGACTCGTATGATTGATGCATTTAAAAAATTCGGCCTTGACCAAGACACAATCGATTTTACTGGTCATGCATTAGCACTTTACAGTGATGATGAGTAAGTGACATTCGTCAGCGATAATTTCATATCGAAGAAAGACTATCTTGTTTAGTTATTTGGAAAAACCTGCCATTGAATCAATTAAGCGCATTAAACTATACAGCGAATCATTGGCACGTTATGGTAAATCGCCTTACCTTTATCCACTCTATGGTCTCGGTGAATTGCCACAAGGCTTCGCACGGTACAGTTAAAGAATTCCATGTAAAATTGTGTTTCCAATGGAATAAATTGTAGTTTGAGTGCTATCTACGGTGGAACATACATGTTAGACAAGCCAGCTGATGAAATAGTTTATGAAAATGGTGTTGTCGTTGGTGTTCGTTCAGGTGACCAAACAGCACGTTGTAAAACTGTCATCTGCGATCCATCATATGCCCAGGATAAAGTTAAAAAAGTCGGTCAAGTTATTCGAGCCATTTGTCTTCTCCGACATCCAGTCAATGTTGGTTCGAATCCAACACCTGGTTCCATCCAGATCATCATTCCGCAAAAACAAGTTCAGCGTCATAATGGTCAGGAGAAAACACTCAATTTGTGTCTATCGGCATGAAAGTAAACGTTCTTTGTTTAGATATTTATGTTTGTTGTATGGGTCAAACCAATATGGTTACACCAAAAGACTGGTATGTTGCTTTGGTTAGTACAACAGTTGAAACCAACAACCCGGAAAATGAAATTAAACCTGGTTTGGCACTTCTTGAGCCGATCTATCAAAAATTTGTTACGGTCAGTGATTTATACGAACCAGTCGATGATGGTATTAAAAGTCGAGTAAATAGCAACAAATTTCCGTAGATTCCATCTCTAACTTCTCCTCATGTTTAGTTATTTATTACAAGTTCATATGATGCAACAACACATTTTGAATCAACTTGCCTTGATATTCTTGATGTCTACCGTCGCTATATGGGTGAACCATTTGATTTCTCCAAAATCACACGTGGCTTAGATGCTGACGAAAGTCAAGAAGGTCAATAGAAAAATGGGCCAAAAAAGAATACTTGTACTTCAGTCTTTTCTTTTCGCAATATCTTTATATCTGTATGAAAGTATAATTTTCTTTGTCAATGTTGTTCTTTATTCAATGTATTTCTTCGAAACCATTTCAAATCGTTTACTCATATGTGATTAGCATTCCATATACATACATATATTCAATAACATCCCTAGTCTCTTTCTTCTCCATGTCGCTATTCGCATTTGTCTCAAACCCGTCTATATTCTTCTATCGCTAAGCAATGGTGTGTGTGTGCGTAAAAGAAACACAATGTTCAAGAATAAATCACATATTATTTATTCCTTCACTTTTAATTTTCAAATTTCAATGTATTTGTCTGTTGAGTGTGTCACATGTTAAAATATATAAATTATTCGATTAATTTCTATTCGATTCGATACTCTCTTCGGAAAATAACGGCAGTCGGGCGAAAACAATTTGAATTTTGTTTCTCTTGCTACCGGAAATGATTGGACGTTTCGGCAATGCACTGCTCAACCCTCAGGCACAATACTTCTGCTCAATAGAAAAAAAGGAAACATTTACTTTTCATTTTGTTGAATACAGATGGCGGCTATTAGAGTAAATTACCAATGATTCAAAGATTATGACAATCTTCTTTACGTAATGATAGAAACATCGCATTCAGTGTTGTTTGATCTGTGTGATTGGCAAAAGCAAGAACGTCAACGGAGACTTCATGTATGCATATCTTTCACGGAATCGATTGACATTGATGATCTTTAGAAACGAGGAAACAACGATCAGAAGTTGTGTGATATTGAAACTGCTGAATCTGATCCTGAAGTATGGCTTAAGCAAGACCTTCTTCCTATATTCGTTTGCATATATCATTGAAGGGATTCAAGTCCAATCAATTATTAACCGATATCGATCGAGAGTGGATTATAAAACAAACACAAAGTAGAAACACTTCTCTCCTAAGCCATTTGCACAATCTTTCTTTGTTCAAGATCGGCGAGGAGAACGCAACAGTTTGAGAGATTATCTTCGAAAAAATCATGAATTATTCATTTTACAAGTAAATACGCACTGCAAAATTAGTTTAGAAATAATGCATTTTTATCCTCAATAAAGTACACGATCAATGTTAAGCGCAATGAAATCGAACGTTTGGAAAAAGATCTACGCAGAGAAGAACATGCACTAATCAAATCGGAGAAGTATATTATGGAAGATTTAGCTCTGTTTGATCAATTTCTCGATGCATGGAATCGGAATGCAAGCGATGCTGCTGCTCGGTATGTTTATGATAAACGAAAAGAAAATGTAATGTAAGAGATCTTCAGTGCTGATGAAGAATCGATGAAAAAAGAAGAATTAATCAATGAAATTAAACGATTAGAAAAGACTCTTTTGACCTGTCAAAATGATCGCAATCATTTGATCGATCTCTTGAGACAATCACGTCGTCATCAACAATTTCTCTTCAAATTCGCACCAGAAGTTTGGCGATTGAATGCAGACGTGTCTTGCATAGATGACATGCGTATTTCCAGGGATGGCGTAGTCAAATTCTTAACAGTATAGAAACAGAACGTAGGTCGATTACTGTCAACTGCTAATATAGTTTTACTTGTGTCAGAAACAGATAATCGATCGATCGATGCTTTCAAACACACGTTTGTATTACCATTTGTGTATTTATTCTAAAACACTCAAATGTTTTCTTCTAGTGCCAACTCAAACAAGGAATCTATATTGATGAGTCCTGAAGTAGGAGATATTTCTTCTTCTTCCTTTCGTTGATTTCTTGTCAAGGATTATTCGCTTTATTTTACTCAACCCGATCAATTACTTGAGATTTTCACGGAAATGGAAGAAAAATCTTTGCCACTCGTTGAGAAGAGTCAACACACATCGGAAGTTCTCGATAGAATTCATTCAACAACAATTACTACTCAAACCGAGCAAGATCATCAAGTCGAACAACTCCAGTTGAAAATCAACCATCTAAAAGATCTAATAAATCATGAAATCGAACGGGAAATTACTTGTAAAAATCTTTTCACGTACTATCTCACATCAGACTATCATCTTACTTTATCAATCATTTGTTTCGTTCTAGTCAATACAAGACGATGAAAGACAATCCGTTCAATGATCAATTAAAACAAGCGATCGAACAGCTTTATAAGAAATACATAATTTCCGATGATGTTGGCTTATCCACTCATTCTATGTTACAAGCTGTCGAAAGCAAAATTCAAAACTTATTCCATATCATCGAACAGATGAATTCTACAGATATTGTCGAAGCGGAAAAAGTAAAAGTTTCGTAAGTACAAAGAAGTTCGTCATGTAGTTCATTTAGTCTCGACAAATGATGGTACGATGGACGCGTCGTCAAGAAAAAGTCCATCAAGAGAAATTAGCAAATGAAACGAAGCAACAGAAAGCACTACTTCGTTCTTCTGCACCACCTTATGTTAAAGTTGAGGAGGAAAACGTTCTTTCACTGCTTTTATTCCCTTCATTTTCAGATCGGTCGAATAATAATGGAACGATCACGTCCATTAGCAATAAAAAAATATTATAAAAAACATTCAGTGATTGATAAACAAGAACAATTAACGAAATTGCTGGGAAATTAAAATGATATCGAAGTCAGATTCATCGTTGGATTTGGAGACGGTTGATTATGTGAGTTGTTATGAGTATGAGTATCTGCTAGAAATACGTGGTCAAAAAGTTCTTCAGCAGTCGGACGTTGATGATAATCTTTCGTAAAACATGCATCAATAAATTCTCGTGCATGTTTAGATACATTTTCGGGTAAGTCGTATCTGAAACAGACGAAGAAAATCATATGATTAGACGCAGGACGGTACGAGCTCGTTTACTGTGGTTTATCGCATGTAGCAATGTGAAATATTGCAGCTATGGGTTGAAGATTTTGCCATGGAGGACCAGTAGTCAACACTAAGATGATAATCAGTTAGGAAAGCATGAAATCAGTGAGGAATTTAGTTACTTTCGACAACGGTACAACCAAGACTCCTGAAATAGAGAAGGCATTCGGTGAATATTCATGATTTATCAGCAATGTTTTACCAGATATCAGCTTTACGTCCAAATATACTTCCTTGGATTATTTCAGGCGCAGTCCAATGAGCAGTACCTACAATACAACGAACAATTTCGTCATTCCGACAAAATAAATCTCTGGAGAAAAAGCAAAAACAATCCATGCTATTATAAGACTTCTCGTCTATAATTTAGTTGAAATCTGAGTAAATTTCTCTCGACAAAAAAAAACCCGAGTCATCGTATAACAGAACATCAGATCTCCGTATTTGCGCTTTTCTATTTCAAATTTTGCGCTGCGCAATAGGGTCAAGTAGATTGACAGATTTGTAACAACTAAATGTACCATGTTTTTCATACTTCAACAGTTTCAAGTATGGCTTTATTCTATTTTTATCCCAATACTCACAAGTAATTTATACCCTCAAGTAAAAATAGCCTAAAGATGATGAATATGAGAATACTTTTGGCTTTGTTTCCACTTACCGATGGTACCCGAATCAGGTTGATTTTGATTCGTAATTGCAATCAACCGTCTTGATGTCCCAAAATCACCTAGTTTTATATTACCTGAAATATCCCGTAGAATATTTGCGCCTAAAGAGGATACATATTTTAGTGGCAAAGAAGTCAATCGATTCTTTTACATTTGATATCTCGATGAACAAAACGATTTTTATGTAAATAATTCAAACCGTCGACGATTTGTCTTGTATATTTTCTTGTTAATTGTTCGGTCAATGCGCCATAGTTGAGAATTTGTTCGCGCACTGAACCACCAGTCATATACTCCATAAAAATTTGTAAATATTCACTGGTTCGTGCTGCACCATGGTATCGGACAATGCGTTCATGATTTAATTGTTTGAAAAGATTGATTTCACATTCGAGAATTTTCACTTCCTATAGTTTCAGTCATCGAAATCATTAGTGGAATTCAAACATACAGAATAACTTACTCGAGAAGTTTCAGAATCCAGTCCACGGATGAGAATTTGTTTAATGGCTAGTTCACTACCAGTATCAACATCATAGCAGAGAAAAACTTTACCAAAAGCACCTAGAACATACATTTCTAGAAGGCCAAAAAGATCATTGAAGAAAATTCAAACCTTGTCCTAATTGTCGTCCTAATTTCCAATTGGAAGGGGTTTGTGGCGCTAAAACAGATAACCAAATCAGTATGAGAGTCGTCTTTCTTCGAAAATCAAATTACATCTGTAATGATAACCCGAACACGAACATTGTCTTGCACATGATTCACTCGAACTCGAGCTTGTATGAGATGAATTACTACTTGAACTTAATGCACTGCTGCCACTCAACGTCGATCCGGTTCCTGTACGTTTAAGTGGCTGGCCAGCTGCAACAAGGAAATATCAAATTCTCCGTTCGTTCGTTCTTTCCTAATATTTACCTGTTAAACGCTTTCGTGCACTGGTTTCACTACTACTTGACTCTCGACTTGCTATTGATGATCCACCACTTGAATAGATTTCATCACTCTAGAGAGATTCTCTATGATAGAAATCGTCTCGCTTTTGAAAACAGAGGTAGCTTACTAATTCAGGTATGAACAAACCACCGTCATTCGATGTTGTTGATTTAGTACTCGTATTCGTTGTGGTGCGTCGTTTATAGGACGCAACGGTACCAGGTGGTGGTGAATCGATACTTCCATCATCTAGATCAGCTTGATGGCCATCATCAGAGGTACTAATCGAATCATCATTCGATGTTTTTGCAGCTGTTATTCTCGGTCCAGAAAAATCTTTCTTTCTTGTCAATGAAAAGTTTAATTTTGTCGCTCGATTTGTCTCCGCTATAGCAATTACTTTGTTTATGTCATCATCATTTTCGATTGGTAAACGTAGAGCGTCACCACGTGAGAAAACACACCGAATACTGTCCAATGACGAAAAAACTTGACTACCAAATAAACTCTTTATCGATTCTAACAATTCCAAATAAGTGAATGGCTTCACTAAACAACAAGCACGTTTCTGTCCGTCTAGTTCGAATTTGATCGTCTAGAACGAAAGTGCATACAACAGATCAACTGGAAATATCTTCATGAGCTCTTACTTGTTCTCGCGGCTTTTTTCGTTCGATTGCTTGCTCTAAATTAGCTTGAATTTTCGCTACTATATCCAGTGGATTCTCCATGATAGATTTCACTTGTGCCAACTCATATAAATCTACAAAGATGAGGACTTATTTCTTTATTATCAATTGATATAACATCTAAAACATCGTCTAGAACTACGAGAAAACAAGCGTGAGCCAAACAACTCGACTGATTCTCAAGCGTACTCATAAAAATACCAGAGAAGAAAAACTTTCCAAAAAAGCAAATACAAAAGTCAGATTGAATAAAAAAAAAACAACACGTTCGTCATTGAATAGAATGCAAGCAAGAAAAAGCGAAAGCATTATGCATTATACATGCTAATATGAAATGTCGTCGTTGCTTTTTTGACGAGCGAAAACACATGGGAAGACAATAGAACATAAAAAGAAAAGGAAAAAAGAGAAAAAAATTTTCTCACGTGTGTTTCGTGTTTTTTTGCCCTCTGTCTTCTACAAAAGTTCTCCTTTACTTTTTACTAAATCATCATGATTAACATTTTCTCGCTGCTGTTGTTGTTGTTGATTCTCGTCTTCAATATGAACTTGGGGTACGATCGATTTTGGCATCGGTTTCGTTAATGCCACTGAACGACGTTCTTTCGATCTGGACGATGTTCGATTTTCTGCACTTTGCCGACGACGACCCAGATGACTTTCACTTTTTCGTCGCAGATAGGTCGAAATTCGTGGGATTGGATTTGGTATCTGATAAGTATTATCGCCATTTGTGATTTGAACATGTTCACTCGTGAGAACCTTTCGTGCAGCGGCAGATGACGTACGTTTAGCTGGTGGATCATCTTTCTTTCGATGAACTAATCAAAGAAAGATGTGATTGAGAAAGACACGATAGTGTACTTACGTTCAAGTGCCAGTTTTGCGTACTTCTCGTTGACTAATCTATTCCAACGATCTTCTAACAAATTATGCGGGATTTGCTTCTTCAAATCAGTAATTATACGTTTTGTCATAAAGAAATCAATACAAAACAATGCATTGAAGCACATGAAGATACCCATGATGGTACCAAATATAGCAGCAAGTACGACAGCAATGCGATAATCATGATACGTAATTCCATGAAAACATGTTTCTTCATCTTCGGCTACTGATTTTGAATTAAGACTCGATAGATGCAATGCAACAATCGGCACATCAAATGATACCGTACGTGGCGTTTGTGAACCTTTACCGATAATTAATGTCGAATAATAATTAGAATCCTCTACGCTTCCCGAGCAAAAATAGGTATTCTGATAAATAGCCAAATGACGGTTTTTATAAGAACCCATGGTATTAATCGGACGTATAGCATACGGAATATATGTATTATTGTGTAAAGCAACTTGATAAATACCCGTACGTTCATCAATAACATAAACATATGGAGCATTTGATGACGGATCGAATGCAATCGTACGAAATCTTTCACCCCTAGCTGCTGCTGACTCACAGGAAATAGCATTCCTGTCCAGATCGGTGCAACTATCGAATGTTGTATCTGTAATAACAAATAAACGATTGAACTTCGGACTGTAACTGACTTGTCGTATTGGAGATGTGATTGTTGGTGGATTATAAAGAATGATTCTCATTGTTCCACTCATGGAAAACATTGTTACAGTACCATTTTGATCCGTATAAAAAGCACGTTTATTATCACTGTCCGATGAAAATGACGTTAATAGACTAGCGTCGAATGTATTGAATGAAACAGGTAGTTGATAAACGGTCGAACTTAGTTTCTCCATGGACAATAATTGACCGATGTAACTAATATTACTTGAGATATTGGTATAAAGTACGTAAAGATTACGCTCAACTGAGTCGAATATTGTATATATAATAGTCGTATTCTTCAGAGCTGTAAAGATGATTGTTAATTTATCTTTCCCACCAAGTTCATATGGCTGCATGACGGATACTGTGTGTGTGGTTGAAACAATGAGAGAACCGATAGGAATGGGATTGTATGTACAATAAGCAATTGATATTGATGCAAGACTAATAAATAGGATGATTGAATTCATTGTCTGTCGTGTAAAACTTTCAATGTAATAAATAAATGGTTGAGTTTTAATTCGTATTTTTCAATCCTTAGGCTGGTTTATTTTCTCTATCGGTGTATAACTTTAATATTATAGTCATGGTTCAATGGCTTTGTTCTTTTTTCTCTTTTTCGTTCGTTATTATGTCGTCAGTGTTCAAAATTTACTATTCGTCATAGAAAGTTTCGTGTTAAGCTTCAACGTGTCAACAGCGGACAAAGGTCATTGTGATGATAAATGGAGTAAGTCATGAATGAAATTCGATCTCGTCATAATCTAAAACAACGAAAAACTGGCGAAATTTTCGATTCTCTGCTCATGTGCCATCGAGTGACTAAACTTGAAATGAATTTTCTAGTGTCATTGTGTGCAAATCAATATGCTGATGTAACCGATGAACATAAGTGCATGATTTTAACAGTAATTCAAAAAATTTTCAACAATGCCGCTGGCGAAGTATCGAAAAAGAAAATGATCAGATGACAGAGGATATACGTAACTCTGAGACGCAGAAGAAGTACGCACAAAGCCTTGGCTTAGGAACTGAACTTTGCAATTTACCCTGAATGTATATGGATATTCTAGGGGTCATTGATATGCATATCAGATGTAAGGCAAGATTGGACATAAATGAATTGTGTGATGATGATGATGATGATAGGCAATGAACTGATGTAAACAGTCTGTTCGCACGTCATAAATTTGTATTGTGTTTTCTTTTCTACAACTATGTTTATATGTAAATTTATTTAGTTCGTCAGATATGGATATATGTAACATATAATAAAATAAAGACAGTTCCTGAGTGATACAAAACAAGGATCCAATCCTAGTGAAAATCAATATTTATTGTCAGATTAAGTGTGTTAATGTCGTTGTTGTACTGTCAGTGTCTTTTTTCGTTGATACACTTGCATTTGTATTTGAAGTATTGCTCTCATTGTTTTCATTAGCCGTCATACGAATGATCGTTGAACTTTGTTGTCGGACATTTTGTATGAAATCCTAAGAAAACGAATGTCTGTTTATCATCAATAGAAAAACATCTGGATATTTCATGGTATCATTTGAAATGTTACATCATCTAAACACCTACTGAGCTATTTATCCTCGAAGATTGCTTCGTTACTTTGACGTCATCAATATAACTTTATCGTTCATCATCCAAACTATTTACATAAGTTGTTCCTATCCTTGACCTGATCTCTACATTTTTTTACAAAAGAAACCAATAGATGAACAATCTGATTATGAATTCATCGCTATTCAACGATTAGTTGTCTGACATATGGAAGGCCAAACGTGCTTGTGTATATCCGTATACACATTTATCGATGTTGACAAATTAGATCATTTCAAGAACGACTGCTTGACAAAACGAGAGAGAAAACTTAGAAATTTACCGATGAAAGTGCATCACCATTGGCTCGTCGTAATTGATAAAAGTATCGGAAACGATTACTTTCATCCGGAATAATCTGTTGTCGAAGAGAATCTTGTTCATAATGTCGACGAATCTTTTTTAAATTGGCTGTCTTATACCGTTTGTGTCCGGCACTAATCACTAAATGAACAAAAATGCTTTCTTTTTTCCTTGGAGAATTCTTCTGTCTCGATGAATACATCGATATCTCATCTTAATTTTTCTTCTTCTTCTTCTTCTTCTTCTTTACATCAATGAGCATACAATTAGCCATTCAATGTTACCATATTATCTGCTGCACATTCTCCTTAAGATAAGCGTACATGCATGTCCGATCATAGAAAAGGAGTTCAAGGTCAATACATCCGTTTAATGATAAAAGGAGTCGATTCTCGCGAGAAATGTACCCTAACTAATGTAATTAAATCTGCTTGAATAGACTAAAGGACACAGCTGGCTATTAGTCTGTCTCATACCTCTATGCCATGAATCTCGATGATCGTAATTTCTTCCTGTCCATGCATATTGTATGACAATACTAAATAACATGACGATCGGTAAGATAAATACAATAATCCAATGCCGAATACATAATGTTACTGTTGATTCGAAAAGCAGACGTTTATGAACAAAGCGTAATAGAAGAGATAATTGAAGGAAATAATCTAACACTAATACTTGACAGACTCCAGCTAGACACGACGATGTTATAATTAACATAAATTTCTGGAAACGTAATGTTAAGATCGCACATAATAAGCCAACAATTAAAATAAGAGCAATGATTAACCAAAATGATGTGCTCATGCCATCAGCGCGTTGTTTAATATCCCAAATAACGAACGAAATGATAGAGAGAATTAAACCGAAACAAAAACCGTTGACGAACAAACCAACATATTGTAGTAAGACATTGATTAAACCAAATAGTAAAGCAATTGAACAAGAAACACCAATGAGTTGAGATTCATTCATTGTTGGCTGTGTTGATAAAATAATATAGAGCAGAAGTGAACCGAGACTAAAGGATGTGATGAATATTGTCAAACGCCACCAACGATAACCTATAACAGAATGATAGTTCAGATCCTTTTCTACTCGTAAAAGAAAACCAAGTTTACCAAGTAGGCCATAGAACAATCCAACCAATGCCAATGATATATATGAAATTAACCAATGTAATTCATAACGAGTTGGCAGTTTCAAATCACAATATTCTCCCGTGAACGTACGATTCATACTCAGATTGTTCATGTTGATCTGGAGAGAAGACAGAATAGATCGAATCTCTATTAAGGATAATTGTACTATATCTTTTGCATGTGAAATAAAGAGAAAAAAGATTAGTAAATACAAATGGTTGATTACATCATGATTGTTTGTTCATAAGAAAGACAGATGTAACAAAAAAAAGAATTAGAATCATTGACACACACACACACACACACTCTCTTATCTATCTATCTAATGAAATGAATTAACATGAAAATCAACGTGTCTATAGCGACATATTTCCTTCTATCTACTGCTAATGACAGGCGACGATAAGATTCATGTGTGTTTTCTTTTCTATACATGCGCGCATATTTTCTTTTTCTCTTTTTCTCCTTATTCCAGCATCTCACTAGTAGCTATGAACGATATGAATAAGGGAAAGAGAGAGAGAGAGAAAGAAGAAAGTCAACTATGATCGAGAATGAAAGAACGAAACAGCTGATAGAGTGGTTGACCTTTCTTTCTCATCGAGTTCACGTTTTGAAAAAGAAGAAAGTTTTCAATTTGATCGTTGTTATTATTACACTACAAATCGATTGTTTATTTAATGAATTTAAAAATTGACTAATTTACCTTTTTCTGTCGAAAGAACTCTCCCCTTTTCGATTAACAAAGGAAATGGTGCACTTCCGATAGAAAAACGGAAACGGATTTCGATTTCTACATTGTGAAGGTTATTCTCTTCGCTTAACGAATTAAACTAACTAACAAATCATGCATAAAAACATAGTCTATGGGAAAAGAGAAGATGATCGGACTGATAAAATCTAAGATTACATTATCACTGAGCAATGAAAACTTTATCATCAGAAGCCATTTAAACAATGATGATGTTTATTAACAAAAGAAGTTTGCTCAACATGACAAATGATGATTTACGCTTATGATGTAATATAGGTCAATAGAAGAAACAAAGCTTTTTTTGTTCAAAAATAAAATGACAAGCATGAAATATATCATATGTTCGAAAACTTCAAAGTTCTCCTACTTGGTAAATAACAAAAGCTTACCGCCAAGTTAATTCGAGTTGACTTCAATGAATCATCATGTTATTACCGGTCATTGTCTTTCTATGCATTCGTATCTCGACGACGATTCGTAAGTCGATCTTATCCTTTATTTAAAACGAAAGATCAAGCTGACTTATAATCTGTAGATACTTGTCCGAATTTTTGTCAATGCTATTCGGCATCGGATGGTAAGAGTTTCCTTTCTTTTCAAGAAGTAAAACGATTTGAAAACTGTGTACTAAAGGTTATCATATCATCTGTCGAAATGCGAATCTTTCGGACATTCCATTGACTTTAATACGATTCCTTCAAATTACTGTTCATCAAAATCTAATTCTTGATTTAAGCTCCAATTCACTCTCGATCATTTCTTGTCAAATCTTTCAAATCCCCACTATTCTTCGATTAACTTTAAGTGACAACCGTATTCAATCCCTTCCGTCGTGTTTTTCTCAATCGTCGATTGAATATCTGAAATTGAACAAAAATCAGCTTCAGTTTAATGAAACAACCATTCTTTCAAGCTCCAAATTACTTCATTTAGACATATCCGACAATGCAATACCTCGTTTACCACGTACATTTTTCTTTCATCTACGTCGGTTGCAAACATTAGTATTAAATGATTCTCATGAACTTTTTCAAGCAGATCGTGATCAATGGATTCGATCACTACCAACACGAAATCAATTGACATTGGTTATATGTGATGAACATTTTCATCTTCCATTTTGCCTTTTTGACCATTTATTTCAATTAAACAAGATCTTAACGATTGAATTGAACGGATATATTCATTGTGATTGTTCTTTTGTCTATTTACCATTTGACAAAATTCGTTTTCAATATTGTCAATCTGATCGATTGACTGATCAGCATGGTCGATGTGATATTCATTCGTCTCGTTTTGCACGTGGTTACTCATTGATTGAATTACAAAATGAAACATATCGACAGTTATGTGCGAAAGAATATCAAACATGTCAAACGTTGTCATGGAAGAGAAATTCTCCATTTATTCCTGATTTTGATGTGTCTCGAAACGATTCAACAATTAAACAAGTACAAATAACAACAATGACCACTACTTTCACGGCGGAAACATCTTCAAAAAGAGACCATACATCCGCAGGTGCCATCATACCATTTGTCCTTATTTTACTTCTTGTAACAATAGTCTGCCTCTATATTGTTCTATCAGGACACTTTTTTCGAGGAAAAACTCAAGAGAATATTAATGGATTAATTGACAAACGGAAAAAACAACAAGCTCTGTCAAGTGTTTCCAGAACTGGTAGGCAAAGATCTCATTCGGAAAAGCAAGTGCCCATTGAGTATGAGATCATTGACGAATGGAATGAATTGTTGAGGACGTTGCTTAGTTTGAACAATCTAGATAATCTTTTCAACCTTCGTACTGTTGTCTCTTTATCTTAGGTAATTCGGATAGAAGACCTACACAATTTGATGAAGGTCTCTCTATGGACAATGTAAACATGAATTCTAATCCGCGTCATGGATCATTCTATCAACGACGATATTCGGATTCGGATGATGGATCTGAACTAACGTTTTATAGTATTATTAACGATCGGAAAACATCGTCAACGTCGTTTATTCAATCTTCAATGACTGATAGTGCTTCGTCAACGTCAACCATAGATTCTTCTGCGTCGAATGAAACTGTCATTGTATCTTGTGGAAATAAACAGAGAAAATTTTAATTGAGGACGAGACAAATGAATATTTGATTTATTCTACATTTAGAAGCGAAAGCGAGGATACAAAAGTGATATCTGTTGTGATCTGACACGCACATAAGCACACACAAATAGAAATGTTCGTATTTCTGAGAATGGCAAAGACATTGATTTGAGCTTGACAGAGTTTTTAAAAAAAAGTAGCTACTGAACAAAACAACAACAATGAATAAGATAATTCATGTGATAAAAAAGAAGAAGAAATTGATCGTATTAAGCATAGAATTCTTGTGGTGACTTGGAATAACCATATTGATTAGGATAAAGTAATCCCGTTGTATACGATGTATGCGATTTTTCTCGTGTATGATAACGTCGAATAATACAGGCAAGAAGAATAATCGAAGTTAGAATACCGATGGCTAAGCCTAAAAGAAAGTGTAAGTAAAGATCATTTTCAAAATTTCAATTCCGAACACTTACCAGCAAGGATACCTGCCGCAATGGGCGGACGTGTGAGAAAACTAAATAGTATCCATAGAGGTGTCGTATGATTACCAACAGTTGTTTGGCGAGTGGTAAGGCCTGGATATCGAGATGTGTGAATCGTCGTTGTTGTCGGAACTCTATTTGATACAGTTGGCTCGTTGTAATAAGCGTCGTCTTCGAGATCATCTGTATAATCTTCATGTTCATCTTTAAATTCATTTCCATCTAAATCATTGAACACTGGTGTGGATGATGTTGTACTACTTTGAGGTTTTCGTCTTGTTGGCTCATAATTAGATGATGTTGTTTTTGACCATCGGTTAACTCCAGCAGTTGTGGTAGTTGGTCGAACTGTCGTCGTCGTTGTTTTAGTTTGCGGTGTTGTTGTTGTTGTTGTTGTCGTCGACGATGGCGATGACGTTGTGCGACTCGTTGTAGTCAATCTTGTTGTAATCATCATGATTGTTGTTGTTGTAGTTGCACTACTGTTAGCAGTTACTTTCGATAATTGCTCTTCTTCTTCGTCATCGGCATACTCATCAAGACTTGCTGCACCACCGCTACCTTCGACATTTGTTCCTAATAATTTAGGATCGTTCAAATCATAATCATCGTAGAGTGAAGAACCCTGTTTAGGTAATGTCAAAGCATCAGCAGTTTGACCTTTTGAACTGTTTGTTGCTATTGATTGAACGATGAGAATCAGAAAGCCTGATGTAACCAACAGTCGAATAAACATGATCAACTGATGGTTCAATTTCCGATCAGAAAACTTTTATTTGCAACTATAGAACTGATGATGTACAAGTCAAATGATACTATGTACGATGAACACAACACAAACAAACAAATATGGCTACAGGAACATCCCGAAGGAGATGACCATTGGTCAGCAATATTCTGACGATAGATGGATTTCATTCGAAATTGAGTCAAAACACATGAAACTCATTATTTTTAATTACAAATCATTTTATTCTGATAACATATCCGTTCTTCTGAGGAGATCACAAAACTGGTCAATCAGACATCAGATGGCGCTATCAGTATATCAGCTGAACCGTAAGTTGTTCAAAGGCATATCATTCTCTTTATCATATATTCATATTGACACCATCACGAGGTGTAGTCATCTAAACTAAACAAATTACTAATTTGATAAATTAGAATAGAACGTTTGCACGTTTTATATTAGATTGAATCAGTTGATAGGTCAAATATATCTCACAGACAGACAAACTAACTGCGGTCATTAGAATGTTCGCTTCGAATTACAATGAACAGTTGTTAAAATAACAAATCATATCGTTGAAACATGATAAACGACTAAGACTTTTCTTCTGTAGAAGATTTCTTTGCAAGTCAAACTGTTTCAGTAATGGTCAATTATATTGATTTGTGTTGTTAATGCGAAGTATTTATGCAAAGCAGGAATACTTCAGTCAATCGTTCATTAATTATCTACACGAAGGAAAAAGAATTTATTTGTACAACAATATACGTTCTGAAATAATGTTTTCTACGCTAAACGTTGCACAGAACGCTGCAGAAGAAGTATAAATTGTACGCTTATCTCGTGAATTGTTTGCTCATTTTATCAAAGCTTATCTAATATATGTCGTATTTGCCAGCAATTACCCCGTGTCACAGAGACAAAATTTTCAATGCTAGCTCGTGTTTTACTTGACCTCGACGATTCTATCAATGCTGCTTTTATCTCTAGTTTCATCTTACTTTTGTTTTTCAGAGGTTAGTGTGTATTAGTTCTAGAATGCCTTGTCATGTATGTACGAACTGTGGCATACAATATCCTATGGCATCTATGCCACCTGCACATTGTTTGATCTGCGAAGATGAACGGCATTACGTGGATAAAAACGGACAAGCATGGACGACTAGAGAAGAATTGTTAGGTAACTATAAAAATCAATTCAAATTCGAAGAAAATGGTCTGTACTCGATTTGGACTGAACCGCGATTTGCGATCGGTCAGCGTGCATTCTTGTTACAAACATCGTTTGGTAACATTCTTTGGGATTGTATTTCGTATCTCGATCAGGATACTATTGATTTTATCAATAAACTAGGTGGTCTCTGTGCAATCGCAATTTCTCATCCTCATTTCTTTACCACTATGGTAGACTGGAGTGATGCATTTGGTCACGTACCTATTTATCTGCATAAGAATCTTGACACATGGGTAGCAAGACCTGATCCATGCCTTCAATTTTGGGAAGGCAGTACGAAAGATCTATTTGATGGAAAATTGAAGTTGATCAACACCGGCGGACACTTTGACGGTTCACAGGTATTATACTGGCCAGAAGGAGCATCTAACAAGGGTGTACTACTAAGCGGTGATGATCCTCAAATTTGTATGGATTCAAAACAAGTGACATTTATGCATAGTTTTTTGAATTATATTCCATTAAATGAAAAGAAAATTAGACGCATCTTGGAACGTCTACGTCTTGTCAATTATGATAGATTGTACGATGCTTTTACTATCTATGGTACAGATGGAGTCATTCGTGAAGGTGCACAGCAGATTGTTCAACGATCAGGAGAACGATATTGTAAAGCTATTTCCAATGATTTGGATTGATGAACCTCCTTTTTCTGCTAATTTTAAATCGAATTTGACTATACATCTCTAAAAATATGATTCTACTAGTACGATTATATTTTTTTTCCAAACGACGATAAATGCCAAGATGAAAGATGTTTGCTTTCGATTAACACATCGGCTAATTGTTTAGCAATTACCTATGCACATCTGCTCGTAAGTATTCGTAAACTTATTAATTTGAAATAGTAATTTTTTGAGAGTGTGAACTTGCATTTATAATTCACAATGCAATTAAATTAAATAATGCATGAAAACTGTCGAACATTTACATCTTTGATAGTTCGATGCTGTGCGACATCTTTTTTACGTTCATTGAACATTATTGGCCAATTTCCATTTTCATGGATTATTTTATAGTTTGGAGATGATGATGAGATGTCAATACAATACTGCACATTTTTCCTTTTTTACTGTATATACAATCATATCCATTGATTGATTATTCGTTATTGTATGCATAGAGCCATAATGAATGAACCAAGTGAAAATCCTGTTACCGACGAAAAACCATCGTCAGATTTTCTGCATGAATATTTACAGAAAACTGATTTATCAACAACAACAAGCCTTAATCAATTCGTCAAGGATCATCAGATTACACGCGAAGAAAATGAAACCGAAGAAGCGTTTACTAAACGTGTGAAAAAGATCAATTATCTGAATTTAGCGCAGCAATTAATTCGCAATAGTGCTCAACATACTCATTCACGTCAGATCATTAAACCTGAAGTCAAGTCATCTACACATGTAAGATCTACTAGCTGATTGTTGGACGTTCGGTAAAATGTTAATGATTTTTTGTTTGCTTAGGAGGAATCAACGTCAAAACTTGTAGCACCTTTGAAACGCATGAAACCTGTCTTTTCTCCAGCTGAAGATCCTGATTTTGACGATGAATTTGAAGTCGACGATCAAAATTCTCGAGATATCTATGATCAATCAACTACATCATCGTCATCTTCAAGCGATGATGAGGAAATTCGTCCCCGTCAACACCGTATCTTATCATTCAAAACGAATAATACATTTGCAAATGACATTAAACAAAAACTGTCAAGTCTAGCTGCTGATGTCGTCCGTACATTTGGTACGTCAACTACAATAGGCGATGATGATTACACAAAGCCACTACCAACAAGTACCTCATTTTCATCTCGACTATTTCCTAATCGAAATAAAGATCTCACCAAGTAATAGAACGAGGAAAACTCTCGGATTTCGATGAAAGAAATGCTTTATTTGATATTTAGTCAAAATTGTTCGCCGAATAATGACAATGCTGTTATACAAGAAGAAGAATTGGTTTCTTCAAAACATACTGATTATCATGAAGATAATGATACTGATTTATTGTATACAAACGAGAGTTTATTACCTCAAGTCGACTGGGATAATCTGGAAAAACAATTAAAACAAGCTCAGGTCGAACGCGAAAGATACGATAAGGTAGGATTTGTCTCTTCTTCGTCAGCTATTTCATGTAGAACGAAAGAAGGCGAAAAACAATTCGTTTGTTTTCATTGAGATAACTAAAAACACCTGACGTTATACAATTACATGTGATTTCGATCTAAACAACTATCGTTTTTGATCGAACACATCTGCTAAATATGGTATACGTCTTAGTACGACTGAAAACAATATCATAGTTATTACCGAAAGGAAATAACATACTTTCCGTACTTCCTAGTAGAAATTCAAGGACATTACTGTCGAGTGTCTAGTGCTTCTATGAAATCGCTAAAACAGCATGGTCTGAGGGCATTTCATTTATCTTCAACAACGGGTACATATGAAAAATGACTGAAGGTCTTCGAAAAAAGAAAGAGTTATTCACACTAATGAAAGCATCTAATCTAACTTTATCTCATTTATCATCGTCGGAACCATTCGTTGTTTCAAACATATCTATAATTAACTTATCGTACAAAGAAGGAAAAAAAAGACTAGCAGTTTAAATTTCCTCAACTGAAAGCACAATCATGTCGTAACATATAGCTTGCAATTGACATGAAGTGCACTCCACTAAAGAGGATAAAACTAGCGCACATAGTAAAAATAGAAATTAACACTTTTCAAATCTCTCGTCCAGTATTACAAATACAACAAAAATCTAGTCAATAGCTTTGAAAAAAAAGCGTACTACCCGAAGCTATCTATTAAATAATAATGACGTTTTTATTGTCAACAAATGTACGTGTCAATCATTGTGGTTTTATGAAAAAACGAGAGAAACCGACTCGTACAGTGTTACACATAAGAAAAGAGAAACGAGTCAATAGGAATATAGATTTCATAATCATCTCCGTCTCTCTTCTTTCTCTTTCTCTCTTAATAATGTTGCCAGTACCACTTTATTAAGAATATAACGCCCTTATTTTCTTTTTTTCCATCTTCTTCTTCTTTCTCCTACTTACATCTTATAATTAGACGTCTACAATTTCATATGTTAAAATAAAATTAGAAGAAAAAAGAAAGAAACACATTCTGACAGTTTTCTTTCCAATGGACTTGTATATTTACTATTTGTACAATGAAAAAATTCAATTTGACTCTAATTTAGACACGATTCGTTCAGAATTGAAAGTACGTATGCATTCTCGTGTGGAAAGACTGTCAATCAAACTGATGAAGAGCGCTTACTTTTCTTGTTGTCACACGTCTAATGACGCGAGAGATTTCCTCGATGTGTTTCCTCTTTTGAAGATAGGTTATCTGTCGGTATTTAGTATACACAACCTATAAAATGTGTCATATTATCTGTAAATGACAAGATAGAATACAAGAGATACGAAGCAGTGAATTACTGTGAATGTATCCATAAGAAGTCAACAAAAGTCGACGTATACTGCTGCTGCTGTTGTTATTCCTATTTACATCCATCATTAGACTGAAGTTTTTCCCTGCTCGTGGTTTTCTACTTAGAAGCTAAACAACAACAACAATAATAATAATAATAATAATAATATTGACGATGATAATATTCGAATAATGATGATGATGAAACAAAAAAAGCAGAACGAGAAGTCTTTCTCTCGCGTTTTCCGTTCTTTTTTCCGGAGAAAAACTCCGATTGAGAAAAAAAAACATCCAAAATGTAAGAACGACTTACTTCGACAGAAATTGCCATATTGAGAATCTACAAACAGAATTTATGGTAAACTCGATGTGCTATGAATGTTTGCACGTTAGCAGTTTAACAGAAGGTCGTTTTTGTCCTGTGTCATGCTGTTCGATAACTAACCAGAAACATCTGACTGAATGATTTCTTCAACTTGTTCATTGTAGGCCCGACTGAATGATCGTGACGAAATCCGCCGGAAACTAGCAGCAGGCAATGAATCTGAAGGTGAAAGTGAAGACTATTACACATCAGATTATATAAAAAAAACAATGATCACAACGTCCCATCGACGACGGCAAGGTAATGTGACTATTGAAGAGTACAAGTGAGATATTTAATATGTCAATCAACACCTTTTCGACAGTGGTCTTAATGAAGACAATGTCATCAATCATGATTAGTCTTCTCTCTTCGAAAGTGAATGACACTTGGAAAGACGAGAGATAGAGCGAAGCATATGCTGCAAGAAAGCAAAAGAAAACGAGAGGAATATTTGTCCTGGAATAGATCCCCTACTGTTTTATTCGTTCGTAAACAGAAAAGATAATAACGATCTCATTTATTTGCTTCGTTAAATACAATTTCCGATGGCGAATATAGCAAGTGAGAAAATTTATGCTTTTTCAGACTCAAATCTGCAAATATGTTTTGTCAACGAAAACCACCAAACAAGCGATTCATCTGATACTGATATGGTATGGAATACTTTGTTTGTTGCATTCAGTCGAAGGAAATATATATCGTCCTATTTTTTCCTTTGAAAGACGTCAGCCGTAATGAAAAGCAGATTGAAACCTACGAAAAGCGATGAGTCGAATTCCTTGTCCACGACGACGAATAACGAAGATATTCTTGCGAAACAACAGAGATTAAAGGTAAAATAAAGCAGAATTTCGTTTCCTGTCTATGATTTATGTTGTACTTTTAAAGGAAGAAGCCAAAGTTGCTCTTGTTCTTGGAGCAAAGATGGCTCGCATGCAAGTTCAAATCGAACGACGAGCATTAAAAAAGAAGAAATCACCACTGTACGATATTGTAAGGATCATGAACTTGTTTCTATTTGAATTGACAATATTTTCTCTGGTACAGATTGGAATCAATACTAACGGAGATAAACCGTTGACTGTTCGAATGCTTGAAGATATGAATATTGGTCAATTACAAGTTATCGTGAATGATTTACATTGTCAGATCGAAAGTATGATTCTGCTGTTTTGTTCTATTTTTCTATATTAATGTGGTCTTGTTTCAGCTTACAATGAAGAATTAGTTAATCTCCTAATGGAACGAGATTCACTGACTATGGAGCAAGATTCTATTCTGGTTGATATTGAAGATCTAACAAAGTAAGGCCAGCAATAAACGTTGTACTCTCAAGTGCGAGAGTTTGAAAATTTAGACGATTACAAGAACGTGCTGCTAGCTTGGCAACGGAATCGAAACGAACATCTACGAATGGCAATACGCAGCGTGTTATTGTTGTTAAATCATCTGCAGCACCGCAGCAAGATGTACAGAAGAAATCTCTTCTTCACAATCTATTACGAAAGGCGACATTTATTTAAATTGGTCTACAAGATAATTCCGGTTGTTCTTTGAACTTCATCAATTCAATGGATATGTGTATTCTTCTTTTTTCTGTGAATTGTTAGAGCCAGGCTTATTTCATTCTTTTTTTATTGGCATGATGTTTCGAATTTTTTTTTGATTACGAAATAAACGCCTTGCAGTTTAATAAATTTAATTAGAAAGAATGCGTAAATCAAAAGGTTTCATTGTGATATTAATGTTTGTGAAGAAGAAAAGTACGTTTATTGACTAAATATATGACTTGGTGGACGCACAGAAATCTGTTTGAATACACAAAAGCCTTGTGAATAGAAAAGCAATCAACTAATGATACGAAAAGCAATCAACTGATCGATCACTCAATTGATTATCGGAAAAATAAGCTCTATTTTTTGTGCATTTCTAGCCTGAATATGCTCCTCGTAGGAAATGATACTAGTCGCGTGATTAAAACAAGAAATGCGTATATGATCTGAGTCCAACGTAACCGCATAAGATCTTTATAAATATGTTATTCGAATGATGCCAAGGTGATTTCATATCAAATTACGAATTGGAATACCAAGAGTCTTTTGCATACACGAGAGTTCAATTCAATTCGTCCTTCGTCAAATATTCTGAGAATCGTTTTTCTCCATTCGAGTTACTAATTAGGGCGAACGTTTCGAATGTCATAAAGAAGTCGTAAATTTAGCTCAATCAGACACATACTCTAGTATTTCAGTTTTGTCGCAATTTAAGGAATCACCTCCTGCCATGATGATCAAGTGGTAGAACTTGTTACATGAAAGAACAAGGTTTTGTCGATGTTTTCTAATATGAAATAGATGGAAAATTCTACAATTCTTATCTTCTTTGTTTTATTTTCTTCGAATGTACTTAATCGACAAGAAAAAACAAAACAATAACGATTTTTCTTTTTGTTTTTATTTTCATGTTGTCGTTAATTAACGAATAGAACGTGAAAAGCGGCGAAACCACGTCTAAGTCATTTTACGCAACAATTGATTGATGTATTGTTCACGATTTCCGAAATCACCTCCATCAGCGAAGTGATTTGCTTTCTTGCGCCATCCACCTACAAACAGAAACAGAAAGAATTTTCAACAATATATTTTCGAAATCCTACCTTTTGGATTGTTGAGTTTGAATGGCCAGAGAAAGTTTGAAGCCTTTTTGAAATTTTCTCCCACAGTGAAGATTTCATGAACAAGATCTTCCATACAGATGATGTCTTGTTTGCCTAGATCAAATCAAACATTTCCTCATCTGCTTCGATCTCGCATTTTAACAAACATACCGAGAGCTTTTTCGATGATACTATTATCAGATAATGGTATACGTTGTTTGTTCACTTTTCCGAAGCCTCGTTTGTAAATAAGCTCCCGAACTGATTTCAAATTTGGATAGCCCCATGCAATGTACGGTTCCGCGATACGTAACATTTGAACAGTAGCCTTGTTAAGTTTAACAAAGACACCGTTGTTGATTTGACGTAATCGGAAGAGACGAAGAACCTGCTTGACACGTGGATGCACACCGCGAATACTAAAGCATGCAAGGATAAGCACTCCGTTGAAATAAATTTTTTAGAGAACGTACCCACGAATACGGATAACAAAAGCAAGTGATGGTTCAGCTTCAACATGGTAGTTGTTACGCACTTTAGCTGAGCGCTTAAGACGAATTAAATCACGTTCTTTCTTTCGGTATTCGCTAGTGTATTTTTCGGCACGTTTGAAAATAACTAAACGTTTGTATTTCTTGTTCTACATAGAAGACAAACGCGCGATGAATACCACGATCAAAATTGAAACAACGTGAAGAGTTTCCTATCTACCTTAGTTGCTTGTAATTGTGAACGAAGACGACGTGCTTTAAGATCAGCATAGAGCTTTCGTTTTTTCAATAAGACTTCCGGTACTTTCTGAACGGCCTTTTTGGTTTTGGCTGCAGCTGTCGTTGTTTTTGCAGCTGCACCTGTGTTCACCTTCTTGGCGCTAAAACCGAAAGGAATAAATCGAAATAGCTTGGAACATTTTCATACATACGTATCCGTCATAATAAGGAATGAACTGGAGAACGATAGATCTGAAATAAATTCAATAAAAATTGTCAAATATCTGAACTCTCGCGTTTGAATAAACTAATAAAACTATCTGTAGGTAGAGGAGTCGAATAGTCCATAGTTTACTCCGCTGGTAAAAGAATCAATAAAAATTTGTTGATCATAAATCATCATACAAATTCTAAAATCAAATTTTAAACATAAATTTTTACACAACGCACACGAAATTTGAAATTATTTTTTGAACTTTTCTTCAGATACATACAACCACCATCTTTTCATTGGTTGGACTCATTGAGCGATGAGTCATCGAGATACAATTAGCTAACCAATTGGATTATCGTGCAAGAAATGTTCATACTGGTTTTGTTTATTTGAAAAAACAGACTGACCGTCGTTCAAGAACAATGACAAGTATAATCTGCTACATCGTGAAACTTTTGCTCTTCAGCGACCGATTGGCCTAGTCGGTGAAAATAGAACAAATAATTTGAGAAAATTTTTCTAAATTAATGCACTGGAATTTTTTGCCGGTGATCAATTCTAAATCAGTTCATGTTATTATCATCGATGCACATCTAGACGTTTCGACCGTTCGTTATACCTTATTGTAAAGTAATTGATCTTTTACATTCTAACAATGTTTTACTCCTTTGCGATAGACAGCATTTTCATAATCCCAATACTATCTATAATTTGTATGTTTAGTACCTTCTTGCGTGAAAGTTTTCTTACAAGCTCAAGATATGAAAGGAAAAGCAAGTGCCATCCCTTCTCATCGATTTCTTTCTACGATTAGAACTGAAGGCGAGAGAGATTCGGCCTCATCTCTCGTGGGCATTCGGATTCTGGAATACGACTCTAAACGACATCTAGCGAGATATGCGTTATATATATAGCAAAAATAAATAAACTTTGAATTGCTAATTCGGGTTTGGACGACGTCAAGTTGGCTTTACTTCTCAGTATCAAACAATTTCATATATCTATTTTTGAATCAAATAATGAATCAGATTTATGAAGTTGATGACTAATTGTATGCAGTCCGACGGAATGGATGAAACAAATTTCATATTTCGTTACTGTGATGCAATTACTTTTCAATATATCGAGAAGATTCACCGTTCAATTGAAGTAAATTGCTTTCGCTTCTTTATTTTCAATGTAACATAATGACAAGAAAAATGTTAGTAGTGGGACAATAGAGTGTCGAGCAATGTGAGTATGTATATAGTAGGAACAATTTACAACACGATAAATATGAATATGGATAGTCGAGAGCAACAACATTCAATACAAATAGTTGTTTTTTCACAGGTCAATTATCGATTGTCATCTATGAACCAAAGCCATAGAGTGTACGACCTTGTCGTTTGAGTGCATACACGACATCCATTGCTGTAACTGTTTTGCGTTTAGCATGTTCCGTATATGTTACAGCATCTCGGATAACATTTTCAAGAAAGATTTTCAATACACCGCGTACTTCTTCATAGATTAAACCACTAATACGTTTAACACCACCTCGTCGAGCCAAACGACGAATAGCTGGTTTTGTAATACCTAAACGAAAGATGCATGTCTTTAGTAACATATGTTCAACTAGCATTGATGGTTAATTACAAAGAATACTTCATGCATAACAACTGTGACACAAAATATTTTCTTTTGTGTGTCAGAGATATGTACATATGACTATCAATCTTGTCAATGAGAATCTATTTACCTTGAATATTATCTCGAAGTACTTTGCGATGACGTTTGGCACCTCCTTTACCAAGACCTTTTCCACCTAGACAAGATTTGAAATACAGATTAACTATCGAGGATCAATGAGCATATGACCTACCTTTGCCTCGTCCTGACATTGAGAGAAAATGTGAAAGTTAGGTAAGAGAGAAAATTCTAAAATGACATGAAATGAACAGCAAATTCGATCGTTTATATACACTTTTCGACGTTATATCCTATTGGTTGTCAATGAAAAGCTAGCTGTCCTTCATATTGACGTCCAAAACACGACCGACACAAAAATAAAAAAAGAAAGACATATGAGAATAATTTTCAATGCTCACGCCATCTTTTCGTAGGAATTGAATTCTATTGTTTAGTACACAAAAAAAAACGAGGAAACAAGAAAAGAAAACTAAGGTTACGTGCCGATAGAAAAAGAGATTCCCATCATTCATAAATACAGTTTCGTTTTGTTTAAAAATGCGCTGTGACACATAAATTAACTATACACGTAAGATTTCAAGAAAATTATTAAAACAAATGGCTATCCAATCCGGTTGAGTTGTACTCCATTGAACTTGATTGATTTCACCATCAGCCGAATACGCAAGTATAGGATCTTCAATTGCCTTCGGCATTTGTTGAATATCCCAAATTAATGCTTGTTTATCGTCACCTATGAACAAAATCACAGAACAACAATATAATTGACCTAGTCAGTTTATCTACGAACCAGCTGTACATATATGGCATGCTGAATGTGGTGCCCAAGCCATCCCATTAACACCAGATCGATGATTATTTAATCGTGCCACAGGCGTGCATGGTAAACGGATATCGAGTATAACAACTTCCATGGAATCCATAGTGAATGTTGATAAATAGTTCGGATCTTGTTTATTCCATGCTAAGCGTAACAGTGAATGATGTTGGGGATCTTCATAAATTATTGTTGAATGTTCTAAATGGCGTAAGTCAAACATTCGGACAGAACCATCAGCACCAACGGATGCAAACATATCTCGACCACTACCACTACGACTAAAGGCAATATCATACACTTCTTTATCATGAGCAATCAGTTGCGTTCGAACATGTCCACTAACTGGATTTGTTCGACTAATAGCTTGACCAGTCTAAAACAAGAACATATTTCCAGTTGAATATGCGAGCGTATCGGACTGGATAATTACTTCCAAGCCCCAAATTGTACATGTTGTGTCGATGCTCGATGTACCAATTAAATTTGGATCGATTTCATTCCAATCGAATGATGTTAATGGTGCACAAAAATCAGAATTTTTATTCTAAATCGAAATCATGCAATCGATCGAAATTTTACTAATGAGTCTTACATTATTTAGCAAACATTCTAATCGTGTTGCATGATCATTGATTTGCCAAACGCGAAGATAATCACCACTCGTGGCAAGTAAATCAGGATAACTGCCTTTCTTTAAAATATACAAAAAAGAAAGAAAGGCTTAATTGACAATAGATTATATGTGATCTACCGTATCTGGTATCCACATTAATTTCGTTGTTGGATAAGGATGATCAAAAGTTGAGCGTGAATTAAACTCGGAAGTTTCTTCATTGAGCGAAACAATTTGCACCTTCACGCAATGAAGATAAATAACGAATAGATCCAATAAATCCTACTTTATTGTTATATTCTTCAACGAATGAACCAAGTGCTAAACGAAAACGTTTATCTGGTCTAACTGACCAGTTCATAGCATAGACCATCCATGGTGCTTCATATCGATAGATTTCTTTTCGTTTTGTTTGAACATGATTTCCCGAAGACATATCTAGAAAAAAGAAAAAGAAGAGTTGCTCTTGTTCTTGTACATTCTTCTGTTTGGTGTTTATTCAGCAAAAAACAAAATGACTAAACAGAGTGAAAAGTGATCATGATTCGATGGTTTGACATTCTTAAGGCATCGCTTCTTCGGCTGCTGCTGCTGCGGCTTCTTCTTTTGCTGCTTTTTTGCCGCTCTTCTTGCCACCACCGCCTTCTTTCTTTTCACTTTGACCTTCTTTCGTTGCGTCTTGTTCACCAGGTGCATCTTCTTTCGTAGCACGTGTGTAGATTTCTTGTCGACTATGTTTAACAACTGCACGGATGAGACCACGACGAACAAGTTCACGAATAATTTGACGAGCAAGTGAACCTCGCACTTTGAAACGTTCACACACAATTGCCGGAGTGATCAATTTGTATTGTGGCATATCTTTCACACATTTATCGTACGTTGCTTTATCGAACAAGACCTAAGGAAGACACCGAGTGATATGTTTAAGAAGATAATCTACTGCGAAAAGAATACGAACCATGTTATTAAGTTTATCGCGAACTTTTCCTTTCGACCATTTCTTCTTTTTTGCTTTACCACCACCTGATGAACCTCCTGATGCTTCTTTTTCCTTCTTTTTCGGTTGAGCAGCTTTAGCCGGCATTGCGAAAAATTATCTGCAAAAAAAAGAACATTTAGTTCTTTTTGCGAAAACCTTCAAAGTACAGTTATAAATATTGCATTTGGAGAGTCGTCATATTGTTGATTTCTTTATAATGATTTGGAAAACCTTCGTTGAAAGATGAATTTATTTTGTTTCGTCCAGAAATGATTATCATAAAAGAATTTTTTTCATATTTTTACATACATTTATTTTTCTTTCGTAGTAAAATAAACCTGAATTTTGTCTTGGTGAAAGGACATCTATTGAAGATCTTACTCAACCAATCGGCCATTTCCATATTGTATCCACTCGAACAATCTAGTCTTCTCGATGAGTGGATAAGATGTTTGAGTATGAATATAAAATAAAACTAAGAGCGTTCACAATGAAAAAAGTCTTTGCTTTTTGGCGGAAGTGTCAATGGATATCAATAGAAATGAATAGAATCAGTATGAAACTAAGCAATGATAGGGTTGTCTCGTTGAATGGATAAAAACTCTGATGAGTAACTCGATTCGTAAGAACAATCACAAAAAAATCTGTGTTCATCGGGTATCATTTGTACATGATTAAGTTCTTCAAAACTTTCAACGATCCTCATTTCGATAGGTGACACTTTCTATCTGAAATATTTTCAATAAATATTTGAATCACAAGTACGCTGACCGACATATTAGCTGCGTATATATATTTGCTCGCTCTTTTGATATTCGTTGCCTCTTTTATCTTATCATTATCACCATTTACACTTGTTCGCACCTACTCTACGCACTTATTTTTCACGATCATTTCCTGTGGCAATATGGTAGGCAACAGATTTGATAAAATTCGTAGAAATAAATACAGCTTTTGATTAACTTTGTTTTAAAATAACCATTTGTGGTATGTACGCAATGTAGTGAAAATGAATATCATTACTTCTAGGATAAACAACCCGCAGCATCCAATCTTCAAGGTTTAGAAAACATCGAAACGATTCCTCGAGGTACCCCTTCTGAGACAATAGATTTTCATGCAAATCAGCAACTTTTCTCCAATGAACATCAACCTACTGGAAAAACTGTTCGAGAAGGATCTGATATTTTACGTCTACAAGACGAAGACTTTCGTGCCCGTGTTAATGATATCTCAACAGGTCGAACGCACGTAAGTAACGACGATCAACCTCAAGTTAGTGTTGCGGAGTATGATCCAGTCGTGCATCCAGATGGTAAACACGGTCGAATTTACTTATCGATTCGATATAATCAGGAGTCTAATCAATTAATCGTACAAATTCTTGATGCACAAGGTCTAATACGACCTGAGCAGGTCTATGCACCGGAAATGAATATGAGCTTTTCAATGATTGGAAATGGTCAGAAGGAAAAACATTCACGAGTCTTCGTTGAAAATGCTGCCGTTCTATGGAAAGAACCAATGATCTTTTCCGATACTCACGACAGGCTTCTTGGGCAAACATTGCATATACTTGCTGCAAATGATACCGATCCATCGGCACCACGTGATCGAGAAGTAAGAGATTCCTTCATCATATGTTGACTATTCTATTTATTTATCAGGTTTTTATTCCTCTACGAAATCTTTCATGTAACGGCGACGAAATAAAACAATGGTAAGCAGCAAAAATGCAAATCTCTATGTAATGATCGTTTTTCTTTAAGGTACAATTTGAAATTTGTCGCATCATCATGATCGTCTACTTTATTCAAGTGTTAACTTCTCAAATTGTTTCTTTTGATTTTCTTTTCATTGTCTCTTCAACGAAAGTGTCGATAATTTTTTTTTCTCCCAAGTTCTTATAAAACATCGTGGAAGAAAAAGAAGAAAGAGCAGTTTAAAGATCAATGATTGATTTATTCATTTATTTATTTATGCACTGATTTATGGTTGTAAGAGGCTACCAGAACCGATGAGTTGGTTTGGTTTAATGGCGTTTAAGGCTTGGCTGATAATACCTTGGAAGTTATCGATGAGGGCGCCTAAGTGTTGTTGAACGAGGTTGACGAGTGGTTGTAAAAACTGAAATACACGTATGAAAAATGAGCATTCTTTCGTATCAAGGACATTACACTTACTTCAACGCCAATATTTAAGTGGGAGACAAGAGCTTCAGCATCAGCACCAACACGAGTGAATTCAATACGAGCCCAATCTGGTTTGCTGATCCACTAGCAACGATGGGGAATCGATTTAGTTTACAGTGGCATGTTCGTTAGAAAATCAACTTACGGCATCAATATTTTGAACGATTTGAAGAAATGAAGAGAAGACTTGTTGGTAGATTTGTTTGATTTGAGCAATGAATGGAGCCAAGACCTTGAAAAGTAAAAGAAAACGCACTCATGATGCTAGAATGTTTCTAGATCAATTCGGGTACTTGTTGAAGGTTAATGTTTAAAACATCACTGACACCACGTTTGCCGAAGAGTCCACCAATAAGTTGCGAAAGTTGTTGAGTGAGCATGTTCAAAGCGTCTAAAGAGAACGAAGACAGTTTTGGTCAGAGCAATCCAATATTTTTCAAAATAATTTCAACGAACTGGATTGGATTTGATCAAGCATGGGGTTGAGCAAATTTTGTGTAAGGAAGTCAAGTGAGAGTGATTCTCCGGCGCACACGCCAAGGAAGCAGAGAGCAGCGATTAAAGCGAAACACTTCATTTTGTCGACGAGTGATTCTGATTGGATTGAAGCAATTGAAGAAAATCTGTTAAGAACGGTTTATCGAATATTTCGAATGTAATCTTTCTAATTTATAAGGTGAATTATTTGTCTACTGAGAAAAAATAGACATCTGTTTGACGCCTACGTTTTCCAAATTTTTAAGTTTATCATGAGACTATGAAATATGCAAATGTTGTTGAGAAACACCTGCATCAATTGATGATAGTAATATCATTGCCGAGTTATATTTACTCGAAAAAATGTCGATTACATCTACATATTGAAAAACTGCAAGACGTACATAAATGAAGGACAAATGATTTTTAGTCAGATTTGTTCCGGTATGAGAGAAGACTATGCTTTGTCGACCTTATCATTTTACACTTTAATGTAATTAATAAACGAAGGAGAAACGTTTGAATTCAATAAAACATTTATTAACAACAATAAAGAAGAAGGCTTTCTTTTTCTTGGCGATTTCGATATGACCTTATTTGTTCGAACAATTAGTCATCAGTTTGTTCTTGCTCTAGTGACGTCAATGTTCTATGTGTAAAAATAGCTCTTTCATGTCCGTTCGAATCTAAAAGTCGATTAACACTCCATTGTAATGCGGTGTTCCATGTTAATAATTTTGTTTTAATTCGAATGAAAGATTGCTGTTGCTCCTGATCAGTTGATTCCAATGATTGATGATATTCGATCTCATCAGACATTGTCCTCGATGCTGCTGAATTTGACCACAATTCAACGGTTGACCAGGGTGGAATAACAAATTGATTAGGAAATGTATAGCGAAGAAACGGTTGAGAATCCGTCTGTCGTTCGATGTGCCATCCAGTTAAGTCAAAAGATTTCGTTGAACTGATGTTATCGATGATAATGACGTCACCTGAGGGAGAACAACCGCTGAACATCACTGAACCTTTGGAATGCCGACGAAAGATCGTTTTAGTATGTGTTAATTCATCGTTATCAATTTCATCATCTAGCGTTTCAGTCATTGTATTGTAGCGATTGTTCAGTTATTGTTTATCTGCTTGTCAATATAAATGATGAATGAAAGAGAAAAAATGAGTAGATATAACAAACTAGTCAAGCGTTGCTGAATGTTGCGCACTCATTGAATTTGATTGCCGCATCTTTGTTGATTCAAATGAAAAAATCGACGAAGTCAACGGTGTACGATATATAAGACGAACAAAGAACAGGCAAGTACAATAGTGCAGAGTAAAAGTTATTAATAACACGAACGTATATAATTTTCCAAGGAGTCCGACAGACGCGTCTTTTTTGTTCTCCCTTTTTTCTTCCATGCTTCCTTTTTTCTCTCACTCTCTCTCTCTCTCTCTTCTCCTCAAAAGTAGTTTCATTCGGAAGAATTTCTCGTTCTCTTCTTCTCCGCTCGTTTGACAAGAAAAAAGATTAGTTTATATGCTTATTGAACTTCATCATCAACTTGAATGATTAAAAGACTAGTAAAATCATTCGCATTCGCTGGGAAGAATCCTGCTCACCGAACAATACAGTGAGAGGGAGAGAGAGAGAGAAAATGTGCACAGAAGAAAAAGACACAATTCTTTATAGTTCTTATATCAAATTATTACATACTTCATTGTCCTTCATGTTCCTTTTCTCAGTCTATTATTGCAGTCTGTTGTAAAGTATCGTTTGTCTTCCATTCTGTCTATCTGTGAACAAAACTTTTATTAAAATAAAAAAAGAAAACCAGAATTTTTCTCTCTCGTTTTTAAAGGTTATGCAAATGTTTGTTTTCATAGTTGGAAATTAAAAGTGTACATGTTAATTCATTCTCACAAGTTAAGTGGAAGAAAATTGAGTTATGTTTCCAAATGATTTAATCATCTTACTCGAATTTCCATAGAAGAAAAATTTGTTTTAGGCAATCGATCTGCAAGAGGTCATCAATTATTGATTTTCAACACAAGAAAATCTTTAACGAAGATGAAACATCTAGACTCGACGTCAGTGTTTCATAACCGTATCCCATGCACTCGAAATTGTATCCTATGAATCGAATGACATCGACTAGGTATTAGAAACAGGCCAGCCAAGACGACAGACAAAGGTGAGATGTGATGCACATGGTTGCAGATCATTACGAACGGATGCATTTGTCTTCCACAAATGATGTGTAAAAAAGCTTGTTTTTAGATTTCATGTACAAAACAAAATTTTGTCAGATATCCATATTCATACAGTCTTATGTGACGGTCGTATTATTTAATAAAGCAAAGATCCAAGCTGCGATTGATTTGTCCGAACTCTGTTTGGATCCGTTCTATCGGATTCCTATTACTCGGACTTGATCTTTAGGAAGTGCATTGCTGTAACAGTGAATAAAAGGATGTGATATCGTACAACTGAAGCAAATTTTAGACATTTTCTGTTCCGTTAATATAGCTGGAGATGGAGTTTACTAGAAAAAACGATTGGTTAACTTTCGTTAACCAATAAAAATAAAGTAAACAACTAAGAAATAAATAAATCTTCCAGTATATCGCATAATGAAACCGATCTGAGCTTTAAGATAAAATGAATTCCTGAGAGCAACAATTTGTATTTGAATCTTTGTAGATTTGTTTATTACACCAACACGAAAAAGATGCTAGGCACAAGAACCATGTTTTGTGTACGGCAAATGGCACCGACATATAGACACCTCATGCAGGTATATTTCGTCTACCCTCTTAGAAATCTCTCTCATCAATTGTAATGAGACTTTTTAGCAACCGATCACTGATATGTCTCTGATCAATACGTATCTTCGTCGATGTCTTGCTCAAGTCGTTGTTGAAAAAAAGACGTTCAAACGTGATAAACCACATATCAACATTGGAACAATTGGTCACGTTGATCATGGTAAAACAACTCTAACAGCGGCCATTACTCGAAGTAAGATCAGACGAAGTACGAGCTTGCTCTATTGGTTTCTTCGAATAAATAGTTCTCAGCGAAAAAAAACTGGCTAAAGTTAAAAACTACGAAGATATTGACAATGCACCCGAAGAGAAAAAACGTGGTATTACCATCAATGCTGCGCATATTGAATATTCAACACCCAACCGCCACTATGGTCATGTTGATTGTCCAGGTCATGCTGATTATATCAAAGTATAAACCGACAATTATCAAAGAACAAAATTGACTGGCACTTTTTAGAATATGATCACAGGCTCGTCACAGATGGATGGTGCTATTTTGGTAGTTGCTGCAACCGATGGTGTCATGCCACAAACACGTGAACATCTTCTCCTTGCTAAACAAGTAAGGACATTTCCATGATGAAAATTTCCATTTTCTCTTCGACTGATTAGATTGGTATTGAAAAAATTGTTGTTTTTATGAACAAAGCCGACGCAGCTGACAAGGAAATGCTTGAATTAGTAAGCCTACAAGCAAATCTTTCTTCATATCTTTTCAAGAGTCTGATTGTATTCTAGGTAGAACTTGAATTACGAGAACTATTGACTCAAATTGGCTTCGATGGTGAAAAGACACCCATTATACCCGGCTCAGCTTTATATGCACTTGAAGTAGATTTTTGCGAGTTTTGTGTACATGAAAATAAGAAAATATGATTCGATTTCAGGGCCGAGAACCAAGTTTAGGTAAAGACGCAGTTATGAAATTGCTTGACGCTGTCGATAGTTATATACCTGTGCCACCGCGAGCCAATGATCAACCATTCTTATTACCTATTGAACATGTTTATTCCATACCAAGTACGCATCGAAGAATCTAGTATCTTAATTCTTCTCTCGTTAATAGACAAAGGTACAATTGTAACTGGGCGTGTTGAACGTGGTGTTGCGAAGAAAGGCGATGCAATTGAAGCTGTTGGCCATAATAAACTCAGCAAGGGAATTATCGGAGGTAAAGTTTTAATTTGTTACTTCGATTAAAATCATTGTCAAAACTGTGTGCAAGGTTTGGAAATGTTTCACCAAACAGTCGATCAAGCTCAACCAGGTGATCAATTAGGCATTTTATTGAAAAATATTCGAAAAGAAGATATCCGCCGAGGTGTATTCATTGGCAAACCTGGTTCATTGAAAATGCATAACAAATTTGACTGCCAAGTAAATTAGAGAGTGCAAGATTTGACTGAAATATCGTATTGATTATGCATTTGATTAGACATACTTCTTGTCGAAGGAAGAAGGTGGTCGCGAAGAACCGATTCCAAAAGAATTCGCATTGACAATGTATTGTCGAACGTATGATATCGGTGCTAAAGGTGTCGTACCCGAAGGTCGAGAAATGATTATGCCTGGTGAAGATGCATCATTAACATTATACTTGAGCAAAAGAATGGTTCGTTTTTTTTTTGTATATTGCTTTTTATTTATGCGTCGTGATATAATTTTAGGTTTTGGAAAAAGGCGCTCGATTTACACTACGTGATGCGGATAATAAAACAGTTGGCACTGGTGTTGTAACCAATTTACATGCTGATCCAGCGCCGGAAGAATTGAAGAAATTCTGGAAACGAGCAGCTTAGAAACGAAACAATGTTTGTGTTGTTTTTTTGTAGGATCGTTTTTTTGATTTTGAAGTCTTCGTTTACTCTTGTATCAATCATTTTGAAATACAAATGAATGATGCAATGAATATTAAATAAACGTTGCCATGCAAAACTCAGGCCACTGTAACTCAAAAGTTCGTAGAATCGCACAGAACGCTATTGTATCACATGGCATCAGACATACTGTCACTCTAAGAATTCATCAATGTGGAAAAAAAGGAACATTCCCATAATCAGATTTTTCTAGTGGGAGTATTTCTCATGTGACTGTCTAGCGAGTCCATCAAGCTGAAGCTTAGTTAATAATAACTGTGTTTTTGACCGGATATTACAGTCTAAAATAGTTTCATTCATTCCAGCTTGTTATTAAATTATCATGGCATCATTGTATTCTTTTCCCTTATCAGTCTATATGACGAGTTGTCTCTGAAAAGGAGAAAAAAAAAGAAAGAGAATATGTTGGATAGGTGTTTTCCTCTTTCCTAGTTACCTGCGGCATGAAGAAGTCATCGTTAAGGCGTGTTATCAACAAATGGCATGGCATCAAGAAACATTTCTAGCGTTATTCAACATCTTTTACATCTATCGTGATGAACTTCAAATACATTGGAGGTGAAATACCTTGGTCTCTACCATTTGGTGATCATTTCCATTCTGCAGATTCGCAAAAAGGTATCGAACCACAGTCGAGAAACTTCTCGTTTCTTATTTTGTGTCTTGAATTTAGCAGCTGAACTTGAAATAGTCGCTCGTCGACATGGGTTCGAACAACTTATAACATCGCAAAATCATTCCAAATGGTCAAATGCAGGGGTATATTTCACAAATGAACCAATCGATTCGAATCTGAGCGAACATCATCTGACAGGTCTAGTTTCATCTCGCTATGACTTCGTGAAATGATTTGACGACTGTATAGATTTCAATGATGGCCATAATCATACATTCTGCTACTTATGTTCTGTTAGTCCACATGTACATGAACGAATTCCACCTCGTGATAAATCTTTGGTATGAATTTCGATTGATGAATTCAATGCTATGTTTATTTTTTCCTTTTGCAAGAGACGGAAACTTATTCCATATAAGAATCCAAAAGCTAGATTATCATCATCACTGGACCGATTGGATAAACATTCGTCCGCAGACTTAGTCTCATATCGATTTGTCGTGCGAACTGGTAAAGAAAAGAATAGTGGCACAAGAGCTCAGGTAGAATCTCCCAGAAGATCGATTTAGTTGGATTTTCTTTTCGTTTTTCTCCAGGTATATCTATACATATATGGAACGGAGAAGAATTGGTCATGTATTCATCTACATGATCGAGCGAATTCAAATTCTTCGACATCTATAGATGGTTTTCCCAGTGGTTCGAGTCGAACGTTTTGTTTAAAAGGTCCAGATATTGGACAACTACATCATTTAAATGTCAATGTAATGATTTCAACATGATTGTGTTCGTCAGCTGATTCTTTTGTTTAGCTTGTTGGATCTCGATCGGATAAGGAATGGTTTTTGAAAGAAATTGAAGTGACCAACCTAACGAATGGTACGACATGGCTATGTGAATTTAATTGTTGGTTGCCAAAAACTAGTAGTCAGAAGGTGGATGAAGTCAACTTAAATTCTTCTCCTCGACATAAAGATTCATCTTGTGCAAGTAAGAATTTATAACGTGATGCTACTGGTATATACATATATCTATCTATCCAGTTTATATTCTTCAAATCCGTACTGGTGACAAAGCATTTGCAGGTACTGATGCAAATATTTATATCACTATTCATGGCTCCGAGAATCGAACGAATCGGCTGCGATTGACGAGTGATCGAGTGAATCTATTCGAACAAAACCAACTAGATACATTTGCAATTGTTGGTGAACATCTCGGAGATTTGCTTGAAATTAGGTGAGTAAAATCGACGATATCATTTCTCGAATTGAAAAGTCTCCTCTTTCATTCCAGTCTTGAATTAGATAGCAATAAATTTACAAGCGATTGGTACATAAAAGAAATGGCGATATGGAAAATCATTCCAAGCAAGGGTGATCATCAATCCCATGCCTACTTCCCGATCAACAATTGGCTCGGAAAGAAAGTAACAATATTGAAATCCAAACGCGAAACATATCCGCTAATGGACCGACATTTGAAAGGTAATTTCTTGTTTATTTAACTCGATAGTTTTTGATTACCTTCGTCTTCAGGTCCGATTTGTTACCGAATCCTTGTTAAAACTGGTAAGGCAATGAATGCTGGTACAGATGCAAATGTCTTTTTGATAATCTATGGTCAAAATGGTCGAACAGCTGTTCATCAACTTAATAACCGATCAAAAAACGATTTTGAACGAAACACATCATCGGAATTTACGGTAAGAACAGTCAATTCATCATTAATCTTTTTTATTTAATTGTGTTTATATCCGATTCATCATTATTTTACATAACATTATAGTCGAATCATATTCCGGTTAATGACATTCTTTTTATAGTTAACCTTGAGAAGATTTTCTCGACGAATCCTTCGGAGTTAGAATTGCTTAGCATCAGCTAATTGAGAACTAAGCAAATCTATGATAATCGATTTCTAATGTTTTTTACTATTTATTAGATGAAAACATGTCGAAAAGAAGAGTTTCGATCATTAATCGTAACGATGACATTAAAAAAAGCCCACTGAAGGATCGATTATTATCTCTAAGGAATTCTCTTCTATCTGCATACGTAATTGTAATGAATAATGCTCAGATCCTGGAAAAAGAAATTCTTCGACAACATTCTAATCTTTATTTAGATTATGGATATTGATATAGGAGGAATACGCCGGATCAAAATCTGGCATGATAATTCTAATCCAAATTCGGCCTGGTTTCTTGATTCGGTACTGATCGAAAAGCAATATTCGACATGTCAAATCATTTCAGACGTTTATATTCAACGTCTGGAACAAATCAGTAGAGTTATCTATCGTCAAATGGTTGACGGAAGACAAAAACGTCACTCGTTTGATCGACAAAACTTAAGAATTAACGATGAAGGATCAAATGATCGATTAGGAAGTGGTCGAGGTATTCTACGTAGTCCCACGACGTATGATCGAGCCAGTTTTCAGAAAAAAGTAACTTGGGATGAGCAAAGTATTGGTTCCCAGGATGATTTATATTCATTGGAGTCACAACGTACAAGGTCATTGCAGAATATAAATGAACAAAAGCATAAAAGCGTTGAATCTTCTCATCGACATGTCCATCCGAATGACTATCAAGTCATCTGGGTATCATCGCATAGCTATAAGAATGATCACTGGACAATCAAATCAATTGAAGAAGGTGACTCGTTTGATTTAGATCACACGACACGCTCACTGCTACTTTCCGATCGAGCAGTAGTGAACAATAAAATGAAACAGCTAACGCGAGAAAATCACGATGAATTCTATGAATTCCAAGCAAATCGCTGGTTAGCTAAAGATAAAGAAGATGGAAAACTTGAAGTTTATTTAACGCCAACATCGACTCGTGGATCATCAGTCAAACCCGACGCAAGCATAGATTTGAAAAAGAAACCACCGATCCCATCCAGTCAACGTTTCGATATTCCACGACACAAGTATGATCATACAGGAAAAGACTCGAAACATCTCTCCTCGTCTGATCTTGCACCTGTTGAAAGATCTTCACCAAATATAGCAAACTCAGCTAATGCAATGAATGATGGCGATGAAGAATTATTAGCGAAACTGACAGGCCAGCCATTGCGCCGTCCTAGTTCGTCGATCGGCTCCTTGTCCCCGCTGAGCCAAAGTGTCAAATCGCCACGGAATATCGACGAACAACGATCTTCAATGGAAATCTCGCGTAAACCACCGATTCAATCAAGATCCACAGTTTCCTCATTGCGATCTTCGAGCCAAAATCTGACTAACGATCGTTCTACTCCGCTGCGTCACTCTCGTAATTCATTAACTCGAACATCTGATGATTCACCAAGTAACGCTCAATTAACACCTCGATTGAACTCATCATCTAGCTCACGTCTGAAAACATCTTTAAACACGAGTGAAGAATTACTAGCACAATTAACCGAAGAACCAATACCCCGTACTCGAGCATCAGCAGCATTGAATCAACGTAATAAATCACCTCGAAACGAAGATGAACCACCAGACTATTTTCGTTCACTAACTAATTCACATCTAAAGTCATCACAGAACAACAACCATCTTTCCACATCGCTACTCGCTAGTCAAGACTCATTTGATAGAAGTGCAAGAGAACGATTGAGGAATTCTCCAACAACACTTGTGCCAACATTGCCATCAAATGAACACACGATACCAGCACGACATCACAATGAATTGACTAGTTCAAGAACTAATGATCAAGATCAACTAGCAAGAATAACAACCTCTGAGTCGGTCTTTCGTCCGCGATCTTCCGCTACGTCATTGTCACCGTTGAGTCAGCGTGAAAAATCAACACGTTCTATTGTTAGTCCCCTTCATTCTTCAATACATGAACGCGAAGTGTCAACTAGAATACCATCTGGATCATCGAATTATCCTCGAGCATCAATTTCTTCATTATCACCAAGCAATCAACTATCAAAACAAGGTCATTCAAACAATGAATCTACGAACGTGTCATCAATAACATCATCGACTAGATCGCTCTTAAGACCCAAATCAGCGCGACGTTCTAATCCTCTCTCTTCTTCACAAAAATCTATTTTCGGTAAGTTGAAGCACTCTAATATGCATTCTCATTTTCTTATTTATATTAAGATCAAGTATACAATTCAGCTTATGGTACGGCAGCAGCATCCGATGATTTTTGACGGATAGGAATTTTTGTCACGTATCCTATCATCAGATTAATCTTTTCTTATTATAAATACATTGTGAATGACAAAATGCATTTGGAATATTTGATGTTTACAGAAGGGCCAAACTGAACTACATTTCTGTTTTATTT